TTTCGTCCAGGTGGGAGTGCCTTGGTTTGGATTAATCGTTTTACCGCCAGATGTTCAGCGCATTGTGACAGCGTTGGCATACCTTCCCCCAGTGGAAGATGTTGATGACCACCCGTTAGTTCCTAATGCGTGGTGTTGGAATTTGCCATTGTGGGGAAACCCTGTTCTTCCAGAAAAAAAGTTGAATGTCCAGTTAGATAACATCCGCCCGGGACTAGAATTTCGTCATCAAGCCCTCCTGGGCTGTAAAGCATTGCATACGTTGGGAGATGTTCTTTGCGCGCGAGAGGCCTTGGATGGAGTTATGAATGCAACGGACCAAGCAGGCCTAGCAATACGCAAGGCTTGGCATCAAATAGTGGATCAATACCTCCAACCGCAAACCCCATTAGCTAAATCCCTGTGCACCTATCGTAAATGGCAGGAATGTATGGATGCTATTGCCGCTCTTCTAGATGATATTCCAGCGAATTGGAGACAGGCGGCTAGTCTTTTGTTGCCGCTGAGTGTAGAATCTAGGGAAGCGATGGTGCCCCCTATTGAGTCGGTTACTCAAACCCTAGTGTCGAGGCTTGGTTGGAGATGGGGTGTAGGGCCTCCAACCCGATTCCAACAATTATCCGTTAAAATAGCGACTAATATGCAACTTTCACCTTTTTCGATGGCTCGCCGTGTGGCCCATACCCTTTTCATCAAAGAGGCGACGGGTTCTTCTGAGATATTGGAAGAACCTATTCTTCTTTTGCAACGGACATTCCATCGTTTATGGTTTCATTTACGGTGGGAAAATGAACAAAAAGAGATTTGGTGGCGTCTCGCGGTTGATGGGGTGCCTATGTTAGGAAATTCCCATCTTAGGATGTCGCGCCCAACGATATGTGGTTGTGGAGGTTATCCAATAGGTTCAGTGGGAGGTGTATCCCCTCGCTATCATCATTTCTGGGCCTGTCCGGTGGCACAGGCAATAGCAGATCAACTTACTCTTTCAATAGGATTGCCAGTCTCAAGGGAGCAACTTTGGCTTATCCAAGCCCCACAATCAGTGCAACAATGTGTTTGGGATGTTGTGGCTCTTGCTGCGGTGTCAGCCATGGAGCATGGGAGACGTTATATGGCTGCAAACATGAAAACCAACCCGGCACTGTTACCTGGTCCTTCCCTTACGGAAGAAGCAATTTGTCGAGTTATTGTTGATTTTTGGGGCCGCATTCAGGGTTTCGCAGCTTTAGGAATTCCACGAAAAGGTTGGGATTCCGTTGGCGCACATCACCCCTTTTTGAGGATTATATCTGGCAAATTGCTTTGTTCGCGAGAGCGGTTACAGATGAGAGGTTAATTATCTGAGATGATAATCTTTTGGTATATTAGTCTCTACTGCAGTGCACGGCCAGCTGGCCCGATGGCTCTACTCTTCGGGAGTCTGGAGCCCACTGTAACAACCACAACCACAAGAAGGGCAGGTACTAACATAGGTCTTCACGTTAGTATTCAACCCGGGCCACCAATAATGTTTCGCGACCGCTTGTTTGGTGCGGTCCATGCCGCGGCGGCCAGCGTAAGGAGCATCGTGATCCTTTCGCAAGTCAAGCACATCCGGAACGTACAACTGGGAAGCGTAATACCAGAAGCCGTCTTTCCGTTTAAGCTGCAGTCTTGCTACCGAGCTCTTCTTGAGCATAGGGTCGCTGTCGTACCCGCTTAGGATTCGGCGCCCAAGATCTCTGACTTTCTCTGCGATAACAGGCAATTGTGTTTTAGAGTCAAGTTGACGCTTTTCTTTCTCATAAACATTCGTTTTCTTTTTGCGTAAAACTGTTCTGCTTACTTTTTCTCTTTTTTTTCCTTGTCGACGGCGCTGTCAAAGCGGTTCATGAGCCTCCGGCCGGATTCGTTTGAGCCCGCGGGTTCGTTTGAGAACCGTACGAGCTTGCTGAAGCTTGTAACATCCATCCATCCATCCAACCTCTGCCAATGAGCGATGCCGTGAGCACGTTTAGCACCACGTCGTGAACCCGACTGAGAGGGTCAGCAACGTTAATTCGTCCGGGTCGGTACTCCCATTTAAAGTCGAAACATGAGAGGCGTTCCAACCAACGAGCTTTTCGTCGACAGAGTTTATCGGCGCTTTGCTGTTCTTGCAGATAAACCAGCGGTTGACATCCGACGCACCTTCGAGGTAACAGCGCCACTCTTCAAGTGCAAGGACAGTTCCTAAATACTCTTGGTCCGTAGTCGTATAATTGTACTCGGCTCTTTTGAAATTTAGAAAGATAACAGGTGCGCCATAAGGCGACGAAGAAGGTTCAATGTAACCTTTTTGTAAAACCTCTGTAACTTGTTTATGCACCTCTTGTTGCTCAAGTTGAGTCAACCGGTACGATCGTTTTGCTGGCGGTACGGCTCCGTCAATGAGCGGAATTGTGTGACCAATGTCGCGATCAGGCAGAAGGCCATTAAGCTCTTCAAACTCATCTTTGTATTCGCCAAGCAGTTTTAAGGTATCGTTAGGAGTAAGTCCGGCCGTATCGGTGCGTGTGTGTGCTTTTAGCCTTTGTTTCCTGTACAAGCTCAGATTGTACTAACAAAAGATAGCTACGTTCTCCTTTTGTTATTTTACGTGCAGCTACTTTAGCCCGCATCGTTTCAACTGTCGTCGCCGCATAAAGTGTAGCCGTAACGTAGTTCATGATGGTAATACCACCATGATGAACCTCAGTATTATTCTCAGGAAACCAAAAGGAAGGCGTTGTTGAATTCCGGTCAGACTTCCCTTACTAAAGCGGGTGCTTACTAAAAGGTAATCGTCAGACTGAGTGTTTGACATCCCTGCTATGAGCCCCCACTGAAATACGGTGGCATTCATTTCAGAGTTTTGGTCTAGACGTTTACGGTGACCAGCCTTCGATATGGCGTCGTCCCATTCGTCTTTTCTGAGTAAGAAAACCTGTTAGGGGTGCTGGACGAGCAAGGTCCTTAACAATTTGGGAGCTGAGCCCCCAGCCGGTCTGCGTGGTGACGACCTCATAGCGCATGACGCCACCGTTAGGTTGCCAGTGGGAAGGAAGCATACTTAAAAGAGTTCGCTAGGCGGCTCGACGCCCGGTGGGAGTGCCCGGATACCCTAGGTAATCCACGCACCTTCCCAAGTGGAAGTACCGGCGTCAAGGCATGTCGCTATCTGAACTGGATGGGGGCACCCCCGCTTAGGGGCACGAGGCATAAGTGGCTGGCCCACGCTGAAATCGCCATGCCCCAACGTTTGCATCAAATGCTTATGCGTTTCCGGTTAGGCTGTTGGGAGTTAGAGATTAACCGATCTAACGGCCGTGAGCGCACAGCGCGCACCTGCAGGCTTTGTGACGGCGGGGCGGTTGAAGACGAAAGGAATGTCTTTGCGGAATGCCCGGCGTACACTAGTACACGGGCTAAGTACGAACGCGACCTCGCGTTTCAAGGGCACAACATGCGCACGATTATGACCGAGGCACCACCCCTGACACTAGCCGGGCTCCTCTCGGAAGTCTGGGAGACCCGGCACGTTGCTTCGTGCTGAAGCGGACTAAGGAGGACGATGATGGTCCACCACGTAACCGCACTAAAACGATTTACCGTCCATGGCCCCCCCGGCTTTTACGGACGCCCTCGCACTTGTGCGGAACTTTTGTAAGCTGATTTAGGCTGACTTAGGAAGCGTTACCTGCCGAGAAACTGGCGTAAGCCAAGAGAATCGGGAATTCCAAACTCAACTTAGGCTTACAACGTGAATAATTTGATTTGCTCAAGTAGTCAAGATAGCGATCATCAAACATTACACGCCGTACACCTGAGTCATAGCTCCGCTAGCTCCAAAGTTACGACAAGACCTAAAACGAGTCCCTATAAACTTACTTATTTGCGTGCCGAAGTGCTTTGGATTGCTGCTTTAGCAGCGCAGCTGCTTGTGTGTAACGCTGCACAACATGGACAAGCTGGGAATAATCACCTTGAAAACACCGGGGGTATGATTATTTGATGAATACCTGATAACAGTTGCTGCGGCTTTCGGTGCGGCTTCCAACATCGGTCTTAGTAATGTCGCAGGGCCAAACGGCGGAAGTTTCAAGTTACGGGGCACAGCTTTTAACTTGGCGCAACGAGGCGCACCAGGCAAGGAAATCTTTGATCCTACCGGATCCACACAAGCAATCTGTTGCGCAAGTCGCGAACTGGCGCAACGCCTTCCCGGCCTCCGAACTGGTCCGTTCGATTAACGGACGCCATCCCTATGTCACCCACAGGACTATCTTTTCCTCAGCAAAAACGCGGTCTTCCAGCCACGGAGGCCAACACGTGGCGGCGTGCCTATCTCCTTCTCTCAGGTCATTCACGCTGGAACCCCTGACCTGTCGTCACTGAAACATGGATTTGCACAGCACCGGCAATCATCCGTCGTGGAGAAGAGTGACAGTTCCGTCACCCTGGTGAGCCCAGGCAGACTTCACCGCGTTCCATCACCGCGACGCCGTTTCAATCCTTTTGCTATCCCAGCCCGCACACGTTTGAAGATCTAAATGGAGCTTCACCAATTTTCCAACGAGAATCCATGCCGCAGTAACTACACCTCACACGTATTTGTAGGAGTGGTGGCAAGAAAGTGCGGAGAAGTGGGTCTACCCGTTCGACTTAAGGATGTCCAGTCACATCGAGCTGCGTGATGACCACCTGGAGCAGCACTTTTCGGTTGCCCACTTTGGTAAGGCTGCTGGAGGGCCGTACGTCCTCACCCTTGCGCAACAAAAGCCAGGCCGGGCCAGATCGTGTAGGAGGAACCGCCCGTCCCGCTTTCTGGGCCCCCAATCCTTATCTCGAACATGCACCCGGACGCTAGGGGCTCCAACTCCAGCATCCGACCCCAGCCCTTTCCCGGTATCCGAGAGGTCGCACGTTCAAGTCTTGTCAGGTGCCGCGTTTCTCTTCCTCCTGAATCTTCACTCCTTATGCCCCTAAGGCATGGCCCGCTTGCGCACTCCTCAGAGTTTAGACCCATTCAGTTCACGGCCGCACTTCACACCTACTTCGCCGTCAGCGACATCAGCAACGTGAAGGTGGAGGGGCTGCAGGTGCGGTGGGGTAGTGCCATGGGGGGGAAGCCGTGGCGTTGGTGGTGTTGGTGGTGACAGCAGTGGCGATGGTGCTGGGATGTGAAGGTGCTCGAAGGTGTTCGACTGGTACAAGGCAGTCTGGTTTGCATTCGGTTTGCAGTTCGACAGCTCGACAGCTCGACTGCCACCTTGACGGCTTGACCGCTGTCAGAGCAGGTCTGTCCACCCTCGTGTTTCTTTGTCCATGCTAAGCAGGCCAGAGTAATAGCAAATTGAGGCTTGGCTAGGTTGTGGGCGCAAATCCAGGTGGAGCCAAAGGAAGACTGCACGGAAGGAAACCCCCTCCCCCCGTCCGTGGTTTGAATCGGCGGCTGCAAATGCTTGCTGCCCAGGACGTTCCAGTTACTGGGCAGTCCTATCGACCTGCCAGCCTGGCGGCGTGGCTATCCGTAGCAGCAGTTGTGCTAACAGTGCTACTCAAGAACTTGGTCTTTCCCCTCGTCAAGTGGTGCCGCTGCCTTACCCCTTACCCCCACCTGCCCGTCCTCCCTTTTGGTTCCTCTCCCGACCTGTGCGCATCCTTCGGTCTGCCTCCCAACTCCGCCTCTCAACGAAGGGCCTGACTTACCATGACGGCACTGATAAGTGGTGGAGCAAGAAGCGCGAGGAGGCGGTTGAGGTGGTGTTCGCGGGAGAGGTGGACCGCGCCTACATAAAGGCACCGGACGTGATCAAGGTGCGCTCCAGGGCGGGGTTGTGGGGGGGGCCGAATGTAATGCCCCGTCGTCGTCGCCGCAGACGCTGCTGATCAGCATCTGCGCACAGCTACCCCACCCCGCCGCCTCCATTCGGAGAGGGAACCCCGTGGAAAGAGCTGCAACGATGGGTGGAGGTGCAGCAGCACCATATGCATCGCAAGTCCTTCCCTTCCCTCCATTCTCCTCTTCCCACCCGGACCTCTCCTCACCATTTCCAAATTGATTACCATCAGGTCCACGACTCCGGGGCTCCGGGCGGAGGTCGAACCTACGAGGTACACAAACAGGGCTTCCCTGATGCCGTACTTTGGAACCCCGGTGCGGAGCGTGGGGCCTCCATCTCCGACCTGGGAGATCCCGAGTGGCGGCGCATGGTGTGCTTGGGGCCCGGAGTGGTGGTTCCGGATGTGAGCTTGGAACCTCGGTCCAAACTGAATAGTGGACCCACCTGGACCGCGTCGCAGTGCATCCGCATACATCGCGGCGGCGGACATCATGGCGACAGCCCCAGGCCCCGTCCCAGTTCCCGCCCTATTCCCCCCGCTAGCCCCCGGCCTAGCCCTCGCTCCAGCCCTCGGCCTAGCCCTCGGCCTAGCCCTATTTGACGTCACATTGGGCTGTTGATCCAGTCGTGCAGCGTTTCCTGAAGGATACGGTCAACTGCTTACAGTAAAGAGGTATATGTGTCTGCCACATGGCACCACTACCCGCCCGCCAGGCATTGCCGCTTTCAGACACCCCCGATTCAGTTTAGCTGCACTTGTTTTGCAGATACGGTTTTGCGTATTGGGCTCTTGGGAAGTACAGCTGTTTTTCCGTACCTTCGTTTTGCTGGTCTTCAGTGCCATTGTTTTTTTGTGTTGCTGTTTGTTGCTTTCACTTGTTGGCAGCGGTGTCAGGCAAGGTTCTGTAGCCGGGCACACATGTTCATGAGTGTGTGCCAATTAAGTGCGCTTGTAGTACTTGGTGCGCTTATACCAGGTGTGTGGTGCGCCGCCAGGTTGATGAACTGAACTAAACTCCGTGTTGGTGTCCTTCCAAGGTCGACAGCAGCTAAGCTGCCCGTTTTGGATCTGGAAAGGAGCCAATTCAGACCTGGAGGGATTGTGTAGTGTGGGGCATCGAAGTCGAAGTGTAGTTGCTGGCCGCTGAAAAGGCCTCTCGAGATGCTGGTGAAGCGCTTTCGCGCGTATTTATAGTTGTTCAAGCTGCCTTGTTGTGTACCAGCTACTATAGTCAGTGTACATTAAATTGTACATTACAACGCTACGTAAACGAGGCAATCACATGAGGGGTTTTCACCATTCGATGCTCGTGCATGTAACATGTGTAGATTGGAAGTGTCATATAACGAGCAATAGGCAATGCGCTTTGGCGCTCGTCAAGCCTGTCCAAATAAGTGGAACGCACGCTTATTTGTTACGGAGGGCTGTTGCAGCAGCGGCAGCAGCAGTAGCAGCAGCTACAAACATTTGGGAGTTGGGTAAGTAAGGTTTCCTCTATCGGATGAAGTGCGGTGTGTTTCCAATGGCGTTGGTTCTTAGGCGTATGAGCTGTACAAGCAGCATAAAGCAGCGAAACGAAGCGTGAGCGTCGCGTTCCCTGCAGTTTGTTTCCCCTCCCACAACTAATAGAAGTAGCGTTGTTTGAACTGTTGACAATCTTGAAAGATGCAATGCTTTTGCTTGCTTGGCCAGGCGCTGAGCACCACGGACTGCGGCAACTGCCGGGGCGCTGACCAGTCATATCTCATGTTGCTTGTAAGAGTAGGGGCATTGTCCCTTCTAGGACACAGCTGCGCTATCATTTCTTCGCACCGTCAATGCGCCAGCTATACGCTTCTTCGGATGGCAGACTGCCGGGTTGTTGATAGTTATTATAGAACTTGTGCGTATCGCAGCATGGCGGGATCTCATTGCTGGTTCCGGAGCGAACTACTATGGCCGTGACATCGTTTGTATAGATGGCAGGGTCTTGCCTTTGTTCTTCGCTCTAACCCCTTAACCTATGTAACGTACATCGAACAGATTTCCTGCCCAGTTCAACACGGGTGATGGACGTTCAGCAAAAGCTTGCAGCGCAAAGCCCCAACAGCCCTGGAAACTCAGCACCATAACAAACCAGGCACTACAGTCCGTTGGCCTGAAAACGGCATTCATTACACGGCATTGTAATTTATAACTTAGTGTACACTGACTAACGGCTACGATGCCCCACGATGCCCCATAATGCCTCCAGGTCTCAAATGGGCTCCTTCCCCGATCCAAAACGGAAGTTAGTTAGGCAGCTTAGCTGCTGTCGACCTTGGAAGGACACCAACACGGAGTTTAGCTATTGAGTTCAGCAACCTGGCGGCGCACCACACACCTGGTATGAGCGCACCAAGTAATGCAAGCGCACTTATTTGGCACACACTCATGAACATGTGTGCCCGGCTACAGAACCTTGCCTGACACTGCTGCCAACAAGTGAAAGCAACAAACAGCAACACATAAAACCAATGGCACTGAAGACCAGCAAAACAAAGGTACGGAAAAACAGCTGTACTTCCCAAGAGCCTAATACACAAAACCGTATCTGCAAAACAACTGCAGCTAAACTGAAGGCGGGTCTGAGAGCGGCAATGCCTAGCGGGCGGGTAGTGGTGCCATGTGGCACATATCTCTTAACTGTAAGCAGTTGGCCATATCCAGGATACGCTGCACGACTGGATCAACAGCCCAATGTGACGCCAACAAAAATCAATTCAAATCGGGCTAGGCCGAGGGCTAGGCTGAGGGCTGGGGCGGGGGCTGGAGTGGGGGCTAGGGGGGGGACTAGGGCGGGAACTGGGACGGGGCCTGGGGCTGTCGCCATGATGTCCGCCGCCACGATGTATGCGGATGCACTGCGACGCGGTCCAGGTGGGTCCACATTTCACTTGCCAGGTGGAACGAGGTTCCAACCTCACATCCGGGACCACCACTCCGGGCCCCAGGCACACCATGCGCCGCCACTCAGGATCTCCCAGGTCGGAGATGGAGGCCGCACGCTCCGCACCGGGGTTCCAAAGTACGGCATCAGGGAAGCCCTGTTTGTGTACCTCGTAGGTTCGACCTCCACCCGGAGCCCCGGAGTCGTGGATCTGATGGTAATTAGTTTTCAAACGGTGAAGAGAAGTCCGAGTGGGAAGAGGAGAATGGAGGGAAGGGAAGGGCTTGTGATGCATACGGTGCTGAACCTCCGCCCATCATTGCAGCTCTTTCCACGGGGTTCCCTCTCCGAATGGAGGCGGCGGGGTGGGGTAGCTGTGCGCAGATGCTGATCAGTACGACGACGGGGTGCAAGATGATGCGTACAGCATTACATCCCCCACCCTACGCACACTCCCACAACCCCACCCTGGAGCGCACCTTGATTACGTCCGGTGCCTTTATGTAGGCGCGGTCCACCTCTCCCGCGAACACCACCTCGGCCGCCTCCTCGCGCTTCTTGCTCCACCACTTATCAGTGCCGTCATAGTAAGTCAGGCCCTTCGTTGAGAGACGGAGTTGGGAGGCAGAGCGAAGTATGCACACAGGGGGTAAGGCAGCGGCGGCGGCGGCACCACTTGACGAGGGGAAAGACCAAGTTCTTGAGTAGCACTGTTAGCACAACTGCTGCTACGGATAGCCACGCCGCCAGGCTGGCAGGTCGATAGGACTGCCCAGTAACTGGAACGTCCTGGGCAGCAAGCATTTGCAGCCGCCGATTCAAACCACGGACGGGGGGAGGGGGTTTCCTTCCGTGCAGTCTTCCTTTGGCTCCACCTGGATTTGCGCCCACAACCTAGCCAAGCCTCAATTTGCTATTACTCTGGCCTGCTTAGCATGGACAAAGAAACACGAGGGTGGACAGACCTGCTCTGACAGCGGTCAAGCCGTCAAGGTGGCAGTCGAGCTGTCGAGCTGTCGAACTGCAAACCGAATGCAAACCAGACTGCCTTGTACCAGTCCAACACCTTCGAGCACCTTCACATCCCAGCACCATCGCCACTGCTGTCACCACCAACACCACCAACGCCACGGCTTCCCCCCCATGGCACTACCCCACCGCACCTGCAGCCCCTCCACCTTCACGTTGCTGATGTCACTGACGGCGAAGTAAGTGTGAAGTGCGGCCGTGAACCGCATGTATTTAAAACACTCTTAGGAGTGCGCAAGCGGGCCATTCCATAGGGGCATAAGGAGTGAAGACTCAGGAGGAAGAGAAACGCGGCACCTGACAAGACTTGAACGTGCGACCTCTCGGATACCGGGAAAGGGCCGGGGTCGGACGCTGGAGTTAGAGTCCGGGTGCATGTTCGAATTCGGGTGCATGTTCGAGTTTAGGATTGGGGGCCCAGAAAGTGGGAAGGGCGGTTCCTCCTACACGATCTGGCCCGGCCTGGCTTTTGTTGCGCAAGGGTGAGGACGTACGGCCCTCCGGCAGCCTTACCAAAGTGGGTGACCGAAAAGTGCTGCTCCAGGTGGTCATCACGCAGCTCGATGCGACAGGACATCTTTAAGTCCAACGGGTAGATTAACGGCTCCGTACTATCTTGCTCCCACTCCTACAAATACGTGTGAGGTGTAGTTACTGCGGCATGGATTCTCGTTGGAAAAATGGTGCTCCATTTAGAACTTCAGATGTGCTCCATTTAGAACTTGAGACGTGCTGACTGGGATAACAAAAGGTTTGAAACGGCATCGCGGTGATGGAACGCGGTGAAATCTGCCTGGGCTCACCAGAGTGACGGAGCAGTCGCTCTTCTCCACGACGGATGAGAGCCAGTGCCGTGCAAATCCATGTTTCAGTGACGACAGGTCAGGGAGTCCAATGTGGGTGACCTGAGAGAAGGAGATAGGCACGCCGCCACGTGTTGGCTTATGTCGATGGAAGACCGCGTTTTTGCTGAGGAAAAGGTAGTCCTGTGGGTGACATAGGGATGGCGTCCGCTAATCGAATGGACCAGTTCGCAGGCCGGGAAGGCGTTGCGCCAGTTCGCGACTTGCGCAACAGATTGCTTGTGTGGATCAGGTAGGATCAACGATTTCCTTACTTGGTTCTCCTCGTTGCGCCAAGTCAAAAGCTGTGCCCCGTAAGCTGAAACTTCCGCCGTTTGGCCCTGCGACAAGATTAAGACCGATTAAGATCGAAAGCCGCACCGAAAGCCGCATCAACAGTTATCAGGTATTCATCAAATAATCATACCCCCGGTGTTTTCAAGGTGATTGTTCTCAGCTCTTCCATGTTGTGCAGCGTTACACGCACGCAGCTGCACTGCCAAAACAGCAATCCCAAGTACTTCGGCACGCAAATAAGTAAGTTTATAGGGACTCGTGTTAGGTCTTGTCGTAACATTGAAGCTAGCAGAGCTATGACTCATGTGTACGGCGTGTAATGTTGATGATCGCTAGCTTGACTACATGAGCAAAGCAAATTATTTACGTTGTAAGCCTTAGTTGAGTTTGGAAATCCCGATTCTCTTGGCTTACGCCAGTTTCTCGGCAGGTAAAACGCTTCCCAAGCGGTCTGTGGCCGGTTTTATTCTTGTACAGTAAGGTCAAGCTAGTACGTATTCGTATCTGCTCCGAAAGAATTACATTTATATGGCGCGGGCATTATGGCTGGTTGCAAAACAAATTGCGGGTGCGAGGCGAAGTGCACTCTTGCGTACGGCTAGCAACTTGCAAGGTTGCAAGTCGCAAGTGGCAAGGAAATCGCAAAATCTCGCCCATCTGTAAATGTAGGGCGTAAACATTGCACATTTGTGACTTCCGTGTCTGCCGGCTATGGCCGATAGCAAGCTTGCGGCCTATGTGGCTTCGTCTGTCAGAGCAATGCAATGTAGCTGTTCATACGCACAAGCTGGGTTCTGAGCCGTCCATTTGGGTTTGCTTGTGGCTGTCTAGGTGACTTGCAATGTATGGTCTGGGTGGGAGTCTTGTTTGCCCTCATCGTATTAAGGTGGCCCGCTGGCTCTTTGTAAGTCTAAAGCCCACTGTAACACGGTGAGGGGCTAGGTGTGGAGCTTCAATCAAACCGTTTCAAACTTTGAGTTTAAAATTTGGAGACAACCCGCCAAAGCCACCCCCAAAAAATACCTCCTCCTCCTGACTAGCACACTACGAACATCTCTTTGGCTCATCTTTCACTGTGAGTAGGTCTGCAGGTTTACCTATCCTTTCCTGCAGGCCATTGAATGGAATCAGAGCAACAAGCCCAATCTTCAACATGCCATGTTTGTTTCTGCTGCTGCACTCAGGCACCCCTTGGACATGGTGAAGCAGGCATTCGAATTCCCAACACAGCTGCAGCAGGTCTGGGTGTCCCCGCTGATGCAACTACAGGCGCCACCACTGCAGGACATCAGGCCAGAGTGGATGTTGCAGCCCTGGGTCTCAGATGTGGGTGGTGGAGACTGCAACAGCCATGATGACAGCAAAGGCCGCCTCAAAGCGCAGACGTTCTCTGCCTGATGCTGTCTTGACTGAAGCGGATCTCCCCTTCATGGAAATAAAGGCGAAGGGGAAGGGGGGCAAGAAACGACGGCGGTAATGGATGCACGTTGATTTTGGGACGAATGCATATGTAATGTGATGGGCAGCTGCATGGTCTTCTTTTGTAGAGACGGCTTTGCTCAGGGCTGAAGGCACGTTCATATCACGTGGTGGACAGGGTCTTGAGACGGCTTGGTTTATAAGCAAATCCGTATCAAGACACTGTCCATCACGTGATAAGAACACGCCTTCCTAGTTAGGATTGGAGGCGCGTCCACATGACGCGATGGACAGGGGTTTATATTATGAAAAGGCTCAATTTTGGGCTGAAAGGGGCACTCATATCACGTGACATATATGTTTCATATTATGGAACCGGCTTCATTTTGGACTGAAGGGGCCTTCAGACCACGTGATGTACACGGTTCTTTTTATGGCCTTCATATCACGTGATGGACATGGGCTCGTTTTATGGAGACTGCTTCATTTTGGAATGAAGGGCATCCAAACCATAGGGAGCGTTCATTCTGAGTTCCCTTCATTCTGTAATGATGGGGTCTTCATTTCAAAATGATCCTTGGCCCTGGAATGAAGAGTCAAATGAAGGGATGAAATGAATGTGAATCGAATCAGGAATGAAGGCTCCTGGTTCCCAGAGTGTTGGAAGACTCCTGCAAATGTGTTTGCTTAGGCACTGCTGCCCCACCAACTACCACTACATGGCAAGGCACATAGATTGTGGAAGCACAACAGTGCCTCGTCCAGCAGTTATATGAGTATTTGGTGGAAGGTGGCTTTCATCACCATTACTGGCCTTGCCACTGCTGACTTTGCAGGTGCCTTTAGATGGCCTCACCCACTCACTCAGCCACTAGTGACTGAGTACTCACTCACTCACTCACTCTCTATCTATTTTTATCCAATTACTTTTGTTCTGCTCGTGCTCCTTAGAAGTAACTCTGCTAGCAGGACCCCAATCAACATAATATAACTTATTTTTTGAACAATTCCCGGATTTCCGGCAGTAGTTAAGCAGCCCCTCACTAAAACAAGTCAACGACGCGTCGTTGAGGAGGGCGTGCCCTGGATGCAAAAGACTGGGACTTGAATCCAGGACCGAGATCTTGGGCCAGCCTATTGTGTCTGTTGGTGTGTACGGATATTCAAGGCATCGCCGGAGGAATGCAACTGTCAACATAGCTTCCAAAGAGCCCAGCAAAAGGAGCATGTTATCGCTCTGTACGTTTGTGAAGAAGGTGTGCTGCACGCTGGACTGTAGCCAAGGTAGCCGTCTGGATGTATGGCAATTGATGCCACGTATAATCCTGTTCAGGCTATTGTATCGCAGAAGTGTTACGAGAAGTGATGTATCCATATGATGACAACGGCACTAAGGGAGCGTCTGACTGTCTTGCCAGAGGAGTACCCATCAGATGGGAAGGATGGCTGTGGGATCGTCAAGTTGGGATGATACATCACGAACTCAATGGTGATGGCATACTGTGGCGGCAGGCTGTGCAGAATGGCGTGGTGCATTGCACTCGTCCCCCTGGCCACTGGCCGTGATTATATTGCTGCGAAGCTGCTCTGCCCATCACGCATGCTCAGCTGCTTCTGCGGCTCCAAAAGGCTCAGCTGGGCCTGTGATGCAGAACAGAACCGCATGGCGGCGAGAGTAGTCTGACAATTCCTGAGCAACTGCTTTACAGGGGGGGGTAAGGCAGCGGCGGCGGCAGCAACACTTTAGGAGGGGAAAGACCAAGTTGTTGAGTAGCACTGTTAGCACAACTGCTGCTACGGATAGCCAAGCCGCCAGGCTGGCAGGTCGATAGGACTGCCCAGTAACTGGAACATCCTGGGCAGCAAGCATTTGCAGCCGCCGATTCAAACCACGGACGGGGGGGAGGGGTTTCTTTCCGTGCATACTTCCTTTGGCTCCACCTGGATTTGCGCCCACAACCTAGCCAAGCCTCAATTTGCTATTACTCTGGCCTGCTTAGCATGGACAAAGAAACAGAGGCTGGACAGAACTGTTCTGACAGCCGTCAAGCCATCAAGGTGGCAGTCGAGCTGTCGAACTGTCCTGCAAACCGAATGCAAACCAGACTGCCTTGTACCAGTCCAACACCTTCGAGCACCTTCACATCCCAGCACCATCGCCACTGCTGTCACCACCAACACCACCAACGCCACGGCTCCCCCCCATGGCACGACCCCACCGCACCCGCAGCCCCTCCACCTTCACGTTGCTGATGTCGCTGACGGCGAAGTAGGTGTGAAGTGCGGCCGTGAACCGAATGGATCTATGCTCTGAGGAGTGCGCAAGCGGGCCATGCCGCAGGGGCATAAGGAGTGAAGATTCAGGAGGAAGAAAAAAGCGGCATCTGATAAGACTTGAACGTGCGACCTCTCGGATACCGGGAAAGGGCTGGGGTCGGACGCTGGAGTCGGAGCCCCTAGCGTCCGGGTTCAAGTTCGGGATTAGGATTGGGGGCCCAGAAAGCGGGACGGGCGGTTCCTCCTACACGATCTGGCCCGGCCTGGCTTTTGTTGCGCAAGGGTGAGGACGTACGGCCCTCCAGCAGCCTTACCAAAGTGGGTGACCGAAAAGTGCTGCTCCAGGTGGTCATCACGCAGCTCGATGTGATTGGACATCTTGAAAGTCAAACGGGTAGAAGTACTTCTCCGTACTTTCTTGCCACCACTCCTTCAAATACATGTGAGTTGTAATTACTGCGGCATGGATTCTCGTTGGAAAATTGGTGCAGCTCCATTTAGAACTTCAAACGTGGGATAATAAAAGGTTTGAAACGGCATCGCGGTGATGGAACGCGGTGAAATCTGGTGACGGAACTGTCACTCTTCTCCGCGACGGATGAGAGCCAGTGCTGTGCAAATCCATGTTTCAGTGACGACAGGTCAGGGGTTCCAGCGTGAATGACCTGAGAGAAGGAGATAGGCACGCCGCCACGTGTTGGCCTCCGTGGCTGGAAGACCGCGTTTTTGCTGAGGAAAAGATAGTCCTGTGGGTGACATAGGGATGGCGTCCGTTAATCGAACGGACCAGTTCGGAGGCTGGGAAGGCGTTGCGCCAGTTCGCGACTTGCACAACAGCTTGCTTTTGGGATCACGTAGGATTCCTTGCCTGTTTTTCCTCGTTGCGCCAAGTCAAAAGCTGTCCCCATAAGTTGAAACTTCCGCCGTTTGGCCCTGCGACATTACTAAGAACGATGTCGATGCCCTTGGGCCTTCGGCTCGTATGGGTAGTCTTACAGGTATGGGGTCACGCACCCCCAACCATGTAACACACAAGTAATCATACCCCCGGTGTTTTCAGGGTGATTATTCCCAGCTTTTCCATGTTGTGCAGTGTTACACACACGCAGCTGCACTGCTAAAACAGCAGTCCAAAGCACTCCAGCACACAAAGGAAGCGGTTAGCATCGCTCCAGGGCGGCGTCTTGTCTGGGCCAGGTGTCCGACGCGGGCGTGCATATTGTAATGTTAAGAAGTCGACAAACTTTCGCGACACATCCCAGGTTTTGTCGTAACTTTGGAACGACGAAGTGGATCCAGGTCATCGGCCCGGCGGGCTAGCGGCGCTATGACTCAGGTGTACGGCGTGTAATGTTGATGATCGCTATCTTGACGACATGGGCAAAGCAAGTTATTGAGATTGTAAGCTTAAGTTGAGTTTAAAAATTCCGATTCTCTTGGCTTACACCAGTTTCCCGGCAGGTAAAGTCAGCTTACGCTTCCCGATTGTTTGATTGTTTAGGAGTTACTGTTCACGGATGACCGGCCCTATTTGCCTTTTACTAGCAGGAGGCGATTTCCTTGATGTTGTAGTATTTTTGGAAATCTGTTAGCATGGTTTTGAAAGGCTTATATTCTGTAATATTCGGGAAGCGTTAGCAATCTTTACTTGCCGAGTAATTGGCGTAAGCCAAGAGAGTCGGGATTTCCAAACTCAACTTAGGCTTACAATGTCGATAATTCGGTTCGCTCGGCAATCATCAACATCACACGTCGTACACCTGAGTCCTAGCTCCGCTAGCTTGAAAGTTACGACAAGACTTGACACGAGTCCCGAGTGTTTGTCAACTTACTTTTTAACATTTACAGTACCGCGTCGCTGGAGTGCTTTGGATTGCTGCTTTACGAGTGCAGCTTGTGTGCAACGCTGCACATCATGGAAGAGCTGGGAATAATCACCTTGAAAACACAAGGGGTATAGTTATTCGATGAAAACCTGACAACTGTTGCTGCGGCTTTCGGTGCGGCTTTCGACATCGGTCTTGGTCGTGTCGCAGGGCCAAACGGCGGAAGTTTCAACTTACGCGGGACAGCTTTTGACTTGGCGCAACGAGCAGAAGCAGGTAAGGAAATCTTTAATCCCTACGTGATCAACAAAAGCAAGCTGTTGCGCAAGTCGCAAACAGGCGCAATGCCTTCCCTATGCCACCCGCAGGACTACCTTTTCCTCAGCAAAAACGCGGTCTTCCAGAAACCCACGCCAATACGTGGCGGCGTGCCTATCTGCTTCCCTCAGTTCTCCAACTTTGGGTCCCTTGGCCAGCAGCACGGATTTGTACGGAACAAGTTCTGGAAGGTCGTGGAGAAAAGCGACTGGTCCGTCACCCTGGTGAGCCCAGGCAGATTTCACCGCGTTCCATCACCGCGATGCCGTTTCAAACCTTTTGTTATCCCAGCCAGCACGTCTGGAGCTGACACCAGTTTTCGAACGAGAATCCATGTCCACGCGCTCGCTCTCTTCATGTTCGCCCCTGCAAAGGAAAGGTCAAGTGGAGTTTCTCCCACGCCGCAGGCAGACAGACAGACACCCACGGCGTCCGGCCGCCTGCACAACTGCAACCGCAACTGCAACCATGACTGCGTGTCCAAAGCCCAGTAACTACTGCCACATGCATTTGTAGGAGCTGTCGTACGACGGTACGGAGAATCCCGACTATCAGTTTCCCTTTGAGATATCTAATCGCATCGAGCTGTGTGATGACAATCTGGAGCAGCACCTTACGGTCGCCAACAAGGGTAAGGCTGCCGGAGGGCCGTACGTCCTCACCCTTGCGCAACAAAAGCCAGGCCGGGCCAGATCGTGTAGGAGGAACCGCCCTCCCCAGTTCCTGGGCCCCCAATCCTTATTTCGAACATGCACCCGGACGCTAGGGGCTCCGACTCCAGCATCCGACCCCAGCCCATTCCCGGTATCCGAGAGGTCGCACGTTCAAGTCTTGTCAGGTGCCGCGTTTCTCTTCCTCCTGAATCTTCACTCCTTATGCCCCTGCGGCATGGCCCGCTTGCGCACTCCGCAGACTCGAAATCCATGCCGTTCACGGCCGCACTTCACACCTACTTCGCCGTCAGTGACATCAGCAACGTGAAGGTGGAGGGGCTGCAGGTGCGGTGCGGTCGTGCCATGGGGGGAAAGCCGTGGCGTTGGTGGTGTTGGTGGTGACAGCAGTGGTGATGTTGCTGGGATGTGAAGGTGCTCGAAGGTGTTGGACTAGTACAAGGCAGTCTGGTTTGCATTCGGTTTGCAGGACAGTTCGACAGCTCGACTGCCACCTTGATGGCTTGACGGCTGTCAGAACAGTTCTGTCCAGCCTCTGTTTCTTTGTCCATGCTAAGCAGGCCAGAGTAATAGCAAATTGAGGCTTGGCTAGGTTGTGGGCGCAAATCCAGGTGGAGCCAAAGGAAGACTGCACGGAAGGAAACCCCCTCCCCCCCGTCCGTGGTTTGAATCGGCGGCTGCAAATGCTTGCTGCCCAGGACGTTCCAGTTACTGGGCAGTCCTATCGACCTGCCAGCCTGGCGGCGTGGCTATCCGTAGCAGCAGTTGTGCTAACAGTGCTACTCAAGAACTTGGTCTTTCCCCTCGTCAAGTGGTGCCGCTGCCTTACCCCTTACCCCTTACCCCGACCTGCCCGTCCTTCCTTTTTGTTCCTCTCCCGACCTGTGCGCATCCTTCGCTCTGCCTCCCAACTCCGCCTCTCAACGAAGGGCCTGACTTACATGGACAGCACTGATAGTCGGATCAAGAAGCGCGAGGAGGCGGTTGAGGTGGTGTTCCCGGGAGAGGTGGACCGCATTTACATAAAGGCACCGGACGTGATCAAGGTGTGCTCCAGGGTGGGGTTGTGGGAGTGTGGTGGCGTAGGGCGGCGAGATGTAATGCCGGAGGGTGTGCTGGTGGCCGATTTAGTGAGCAGCCGTACGCATCATCTTGCGCCCCGTCGTCGTCACCGCAGACGCTGCTGATCAGCAGCTGTGCACAGCTACCCCACCCCATTCGGAGAGTGGAACGGGTGGGACCCGTGGAAAGAGCTGCAACGATGGGCGGAGGTTCAGCACCGTATGCATCACAAGCCCTTCCCTTCCCTCCATTCTCCTCTTCCCACCCGGACTTCTCTTCACCGTTTGAAAACTAATTACCATCAGATCCACGACTCCGGGGCTCCGGGTGGAGGTCGAACCTACGAGGTACACAAACAGGGCTTCCCTGATGCCGTACTTTGGAACCCCGGTGCGAAGCGTGGGGCCTCCATCTCCGACCTGGGAGATCCCGAGTGGCGGCGCATGGTGTGCCTGGAGCCTGGCCTGGTGGATCCGATAACGAGCTTGGAACCTGGATCCACCTGGACCGCGTCGCAGTGCATCCGCATACATCGCGGCGCCGGTGCGGCTGCAGCGGCGTTCTAATCGTATGCTACATTGCTTGTTCGACAATTCCGCTTTCAATATCGATCTCGTTTATGTGTGTGTTGATGAGTCGATCCATTCCGAGCTGAGCCGTGTTGTGGATTAGCTGGGTGTGGTAGTTGTCGGTTGCGCCGCATGGGTGCACACGGGGAAGGGTTTCATGGGGGGAGTCCGTGGGAGCCGCGCCGGTGACCTTTTTTGTGTGTGTCTGTGTGTGTGTCTGTCTGTGTGTAGAGTTTAGTGTTTGGGGTTTAAGGTTCCTAGGCACCATCTGGTGAGGGCTGTATTTCGATTGTCTCACCAAGTCTGTTTGGCGGTTGTGTGTTGCTTCTTGAGAGTGGCGCACACTCTTGCAGGCCTGGGTAAGAAGCGAAGGGGTCACTCATCACAGGCCATGACAGGTCACGCGTTCGTTGCGTCGAGTTGAAGACTTTGTTGCATCTCGTGTGGATCGATGGTTGGATCCGCACATTCCTAATAGAGATTGTCGGAAGGGTGTAGGATGTCCGATTGCCTGGTTTGGAGCTGTAACGTTTCCGCTTAGGGGCATCATGCGTAAACGGCCGCTTGAGGTATGCAGGACTATCTGGTGTTTCTTTGTACGAGGCATTTGTAAATTGGGACTGTGACAGGACTTGCATGGAATGGCCTGCTCACTTCAGGGCCTGCCGTCCTGGTCCTGCGATATGTGCTTGGTAAAGTACCAACTGATACTCTCGCCCTCGTCGTCGTCAATAATTGCATGGGATACGCCCGCAAACTATCGAATGCAAGACGCCAAAGGCTTTTCTGAGGGTCATTATTACACGGGATTTCCCATCGTGCGTGTAAGATGGAGCGAAATTCAACCCAGCAAGCTTTGCGCCATGTTTTGAAAGGTCGTTATCCCAAGCTTCCACAATAATTTTCCAATGCTTAGTTTCCATATTGCCATTGGTTGGTATCAGCCATCATCATCGCAGTAGCGGATTGAACCGTAAGTAGGCAGTAAGTGTGTGACCGCACTAAACTGCACTTGCGACTTGCCCACGTGCTGTGCAGATGACGGAAGTATACCATCGGCACCATTTCTGGGACTGTACGGTGATGGTGGCCCTGAAGGAGTCCACGGTAGAGCTAAGGTGTATTTCCATACCAAATCCCGCCACTGTACGACCGCTGTATATCAAACCCCGGTGTACGTGCAGGATTGAGAACGCGCCGGCGTCTCGTCCCATTGTGCATCTGCATCTGTGTTTGATGCCCACCGTGGTAATGCCGACCGGTAGACGCAATCTCTTATTGAGGGGCTCTACCGGAACATCGCCTCGTTGAAGCTCGTGTAAAGACACCGGGTTGTATGAAGCCAAGGGGAAACTGTAAAGCCCTTTCAGTGGTGTACGTACCTGAGGAGCTGATGCACCGCACGCACAATGCTCTGTTGGGCCCGTGCGGGTCCAGATCGGTCTATCCTGGCCGACACGAGCCAGACCTCTGATAGTGATGATGACTGTTGTGTGGGCAGCCGGGGGAGCCCTGAGCGAGTGTGTGCTGCGCACGGGTGATTGTTGGAATATAATCGACGCTCATATGCAAGTGAGCATGGGAGAGCAGTAATAGGACTCGAGGGGGTCCGGCGTTTTGCTATTATTACCACATGTTACCACATGTGGTATCGTGCGTGCTTGCTTCTGAAAAAAGGTGAGGGGGGCGATGTCAAACCCCGCCTCTCCGCTATCGTCTACGACCTCTAAAACCGTTAATTCTGACTACGCCTGCCAGTGTTTGTTCTGGTTGTCGGTCCTCCATTGTATTCAGGAATTCGGCGCGCCAAATGGGTCCTCTAGTGCAGCTCCCCCAATGCAAAGCTTCCAACCTCGGTGCTGATCGGGACGGCTACTTTGTCAAACCGGAGCGACACACCAAGTTGCGGCACGTGGTGTGGTTGACGTTGAGCCTCGTTGTTTTGGAACCCGTAGAATTCGCAGCTTGGGACCTCCAGGAAGGCGGTGCAGTGCATTCACGTGCGTCATGGGGGCGTCGCGGCGCTTTAACCATAGCTCGTCATGTGGCATGGCCGATACGAATTTGCATGTGCGTGCGGATTCAGGAGCACGAAGGGTCGGGAAAAAACAGCTCCATTATCAATCTGACGGGTCCGGTTTCACATCATCCCATCAAATTGACGAGGCGTACATTGAGGATGGCGAGCAGGACTGGAGCGCGAGGGCATTTCTTGCAGCTTATCTGCCTTTGAACCATTAAAGTTTAGGAAAAAAATTGTGATTTGGGTTCGCACGCCGCCTTTGTTGAGAAGAAGACACGTGGAGAGCTGGCAAGCGTGTGCAACAGTTTTATTGGCACAGCCTACTATTTAGGCTTTACCAATATTCTAGTAAGATTGCATAACTTATTCGCTTATGCATTAGATATAAAAATTGGCGACGGTTGATGTCCGTACCAATGACCCGTTAGACGGTAAGGCGACTCAAGAGCTGCTCCTTAGACTAAAGGATTAGCTTGGAGGAATTGCGAATTCTGCACACCTGCTTAGCTGTGTGGCAACCCGCTACTTTGGGTGTTACTACTCGAGATCACCACTGTTGCAACCTTCGACATGGGCCAGCAGGTGCTGTGTGATGCCTATGGAACCCTGAAGCCTCAACAGACGGAAATTGCGGTGCTCTTAAGCACAAACTCTCCGAGTGTCTTGCCCGGCGAAGACGTCGTCAGCAGCTGTCTTGAGACCATTCCTTCGCCAGAGGGCCTGGCGCGCTTGGCCCTGAATCGCTGGTCGCGGAGCACTGGTCTTGCTGGACATCAGGAGATCCTGGATGCCTTCATTAAACTCCATGGTATGGGCTACGGGCGCGACCTGTTTGCTGGTTGTTGGTCAGAACCCGGGTTGGAAGCTTGGAACCCGCGCTGGCAACACGCTCGGGGACGATCCCGACAGACGTCCTTGCGATCGCCACGTCTTTGCTTGCAGTGAGCGAGTCTAGCGCGGAGCTGAAGCCGGCTGCCAAGGCTTTCCTGTCGGATGTCCGGAGCCGTTTGGTACAGCTAGTCCAGGATAGCTTGGCGCGCTTTGGTGACGTCGAGGGCCCTGTCTACGACGAGGTCTACGGAGAGAACGCGGACAAGACCAAGATCCCGGCATACCTACCTGTCGTGTCGCACTTCCAGGTAAGTCGCGACACTACACCCATATGGAGCGAAACCCCCCGCAAGGGCGGCACACCTGCACCTGCTGGAGGCCTATTAAGCACCTGACAGACGCCGCCATCCATGTGGACTGTGTAGTACGGTCGCAAGGGCCCAGGGCCCAACCAGCTTCCGTTGTTTCAAAATCTGTACCTTGAGATGGAGGGGAGTCTACTTGAGTTGTGGCCCCCAAACTACCGTGCCTACTTTGGCGTGCGTTCGGGCGGGCATTGCCCTTGAAAAACGGGCGCCCGAGCTGCCGGGCGCCAGTCCGAGCGGATCGCCAAGGGCGTAGCATTTAGAGTGGCCACCTGTCACGGGCCATCGGCGTGCGTCTTGCCAGGCAGGTGGTTACTTATGCCTAGCCTAACAAACTTTGATACAAATATACTTTCTTGTTTTGTTGTAATCTCTCCTCCACAATTCGCCCATTGGCAACCATTCCTTTCCCCCCCCGCTGATTCCAACGCTTGTCTGCCGCTGCTGGGCGTGCACCAGCCCGCCTTTCTGTTTCCGCAACATACCGTCCCTTTGCAACCTGCCCCTTGGACAGCTGCACTTCCACGACATCGCCAATGACAAGTCGCTCCACGCGGCGTGGGACAGCGCCCTGGCGGCCTGCAGTGCTGAGCTGGCGGACGCAGACGTTGGCCTGGGGAACAGCCCCAAGCGCCGGGCGCTGGTGTACCTGCTATCCATGGGGGAGGACATTGCGTTCCTGCGCCTGGCGGAGGTGCTGTTGAAGGGCTCGTGTGAGTTCGTGTACGAGTGAGGCCGCCGGGTGGGTGAGGCGGAGCTGGTCGGGGAGCAGGTAGACGCTTGTTAATACGTCTCCATGCGGAGAGCTGTGGGCCCCTGTGGCTGGTTTTGCAGGCTGGGGGAGGGGGAATACTGAGAGTAGGAAGGAAGGAGGGAGGCGGGGAGTGGATGTGCGACAGGGCGGCGGTCTGCGGTGGGGTGGTGGTAGTGCTGTCGAGCGGGCGGGGCCTGCGGGCGTGGATTTGTGATTCTGCAGGGAAGCCTTTGCTGGATGGAGGTGTGTGCCAGTGAATCGGAAGAGCAGGTTGGGGCTCTGGATTGCAGAGCCGGCATGTATCAGTTCTTGCCCGCGTAGCGTTAGGCGTTTCGGGTGTGCAAGCACGGCGACGTGCTAGCTCGTAAGGTGTTTCAGTCGCTGCAAGCAGAAGCGAAGAGAGAAAGCTTTTACCCGAGCGGCCTGCACGTGACCGATGTGTATATGGAGAGAGGTCAGAGGACACGGTGACTGGGCGAGGCCACGTGCCAGTGCGCGGCTCTGTCGGCACCGCGGGATCTGCGGGCCTCGCCTGGGTGCCTGTTCAGCGCGCATGGGTGACCAGCAGGACTTTGGCGCAGGCAATTAGTGGTGATGCTTTTCCTACCGAAGCCGTTGGCCATCCTGCATGTGTAAGACAAGCTTCGATCGGGCTCACCAAGTCATCCTTTCGCGGCACGACAACGGTTGGCGGGTAGGGTACTCTTCAGAAGACCACTGATTGATGTGTTGGATAATACTAGCTTGTTCATAACAATGTCTGGTTTATGGGGTTTAGTACGATGACAGAACACGAAGACATTCCAGCCTTGCCCGTCACAGCAACCGCTGAAGCAAAAGACCAGCACTATAACCGTGTAATCGACGTCATTATTCAAATTCTTCAAGGTGCCATTAGAACATATGATGCATAAATCTGTGTTGCCTTTGATTGCTTGCTGGAGCTCGTTGCAGTGCCAAGTGCGAGCTTGAAATTTTATGGTTGGCAAACGTGGCAATTGTTGCAACTTGAAGTCTATGTATCCATGTTACCATGGCGCATATCGTGAAAACTAGCAAACGTTTCACGGCTTGTGGTCTGCAGTCTGCGGACATTCATCTCGCAAACAGGACGCCCTCACTCCTGGCACACGCAAACCCTTCCCCACGTTCAAACCCCGATAGGCGAGGATGACTGGGTGGCTGCCATGGCAAGTGTGGCTGCACTCCTCCACTCCGCCTTCGATTACTTCCACTGGACTGTAGGTACCACCGCTCTCCCACCCCAACCGTATCATCCAAAGAGACAAATACAGAGTTGTGGCACGACATGTCCCCGCTCCAACATTCCCTTACTCACGACGCCAGACCTCGATAGTGCCGCTGGCTGGCTGGCAGGCATGGGCTCCGTAATTAGAAAGGACCATTCCCCCTGCGCTACCTGATCACAGCTCAGTTGCATTCCTGCCAGACTCCTTTTCCCCAAATTTCATGAAGCACAATCCGCGTGCGTAAAAGCCTCAGATTGCGTGCTCAGTTCCCGTTCCGAACCTACCCCAGGGTTTTTACCAGGCGGGTCCCCCTGGTGCCGAGACGCTAATCATAGGGCCCTACCAGGGCCACCTGGGCTGTCTACGCATCCCCTACAGCCGGGGCGTGTGCGGCGCTGCGGCACGCAGCAAAGCCACTCAACTGGTTACCGATGTGTCGAAATTCCCGGGCTACATCGCATGCGCTTCCAGGTGCGGCTTCTGGAAGGAATGGGGGGGTTCCGAATTGGTGATCGATGTAGATCTGAGGCCGAGAAATATCAGATGCGGTATCGAGGCTTTTCCTGGGGTCACATGGACGGGCATAACTCCGCAGTGTACGGGGAGCGTCTATGGAGTGCCGTTCTAGGGTAGTCGTTGAATCCACTTTGCGGCGCAGTTCCGTTGCGCGTCCTGTCCACCGCCCACTCACAGCACGCACCGTTCATGGACCAATGGCGTAGCAATGTTATGCATAAAGCGTCTCTTCAGGATTGTTACCTGCTAACAGTAAAAAAACTGAAGGGATTACTTGTTGTGCGTAGGTCTGTGTTACACAATTACACAGTTGTCGCCGTGTGTAACCAATATGCCGTACAGCACAAAGTCCGAGATTGTCGTGCCGGTGGTAGAGGCCAGCAGTGGGTGCCTACGCGCCGTCCTAGATGTGGATTCGGACCTTCCGGCCGCATTCACTCAGGTAATGAGAGAAGAATCACGGATTGGATGAAAAAGTGTACCAGCTAATGAGACGCAGGGGACACACCCTGCGGGGCATGATACGGCCAACCTCTGCCTATCGCCTCCTGCGTGCTCAAGTCAGAAGATCTATTGTTACCCAGCTATGCGCCTCCTGCTCCGGGGCCGTGCTTCCTCTCCTGAATCCCTTTGTTTGTCAGGATCCACCCGACGAAGCACCCGTCCCCTTCCCTTGCCTTCCTAGGTGGACCAGGACCAGCTGGAACGCTTGTGCGCCTGGCTGGGAAAGCAGGCCGCCTTCTGGAAGGAAGACGGCTAACACAGAGCAGAACCCAGCGCTCACTTGGGCGTTGAGTGGCTGCGGTCTTGTGTGGGGCTAGGCATGTAGCAGAGGCCGTGTAGTAGCAGCAGCAACAGTACATGCAGCAGAACATATTGCCAGAGCCCCCCAATATCTGTATTGCTGTGCGCTCCTTACGTTGTGTACGCAAAGGAGCGTACATCACCGTGTGCATATCTTAGAATCGTAGAAAAATATATGTAACCAGGGCATGCCTCAAGCCCTTGAGCCACGGATCGATCAAGCACCACAAGCCAAGCACTGCTGACGCATTTCAGTACTTCCGTTACAACTCCTCCTTTACAACCCTCCCTCCAGACACACGCCATAAGCATACGCTATGCACACGCTACGTGGAAGCGCACCGCTCCAACAGCACACGTTGGACAAACCGCCGCCCTGTGACCCCGGGGAGCAGCAGCTGAGCGTATATACGCACTCCCTACTTCTCCCTACTTCAGCACGCTCCGATGGGCATGCCGCATCACATGCGCGGCTGCAAACTGCAATACTCTTCGAACGGAGGAAGCAACAGGACGTAGACATGCAGCAGCGCTGCCGCATGCCCGGTCCGCTCCGAAACACGGGGTAAAGCCAGCACATCGCTCTAGAAACGAGGAACAGACTCCCAGCACCGCTGTGGATGGGCGTAAAACGCCACACGCAAGCGAGGCCGTTCCACGACCTCAATACACCAGCTCAGAGCGCGCGAGGAGATGCACAGAAGACCTATGCAATCTCTCGCAGCTCGCACGCGTCGCAGCAAAGCAGCAGCGGCACCGCTGCATCAGCATTCTTACCGTATCCGCTTCATGGGTCCCATGAAACCGCCGCGCCCTGGCCCCATGCCGCCCCCCATGCCACCACCACCACCCCCTTCTCGGTCCCCAAATGGTCGCTTAAACCCAGCCCCCATGGCCCCGCTGCCAACACCGGGCGGCGGCCCACGGCCACCCCGACCCCGAAACCCACCCGGCCCCATGTCAAATGCCCGCCGTCCACCAAAGCCCCCTGGACCCATGGGCCCCATGCCACCCAGGCCCGGCCCCATGCCAAGGCCACCCGCGCCCCCCGGTATGCTGAGAGGCAGTCCTGCATCGCGCTCAAGCTCCATGACCCGGGCTCGCAGCGCGAAGATCTCTCGCTGCAGTTCTTCCGCCTCGTCCTCCATTACCTTGAGAAAGCGGTATGCGAAATTTGGGTGCGGCGCGCAGAAATGGGGCCAAAAGCTGTAACAGAAGTGCATACTCCGTTATGGGAACAGTCGCCTACGGATAGCCCAGGACAGGCGTTGAGGCTATAACGGTCTAGGATATGCAGAACGGGTACAATGCGACATGGGAGGTGCCGTACAGTGCACTGGCCAACAGAGTCAACAAGGGAGCGGACACTGGCAAACGCCCGACAATAGTCGCCAATGTGTTTGGTAAAGTCATCGGCAGTCGCGATGTACGAAATACAGGTGATCCTCCTCCTCGCCGCCGTTGTTTCTGCGCACGCACACCCCGCGCAGGCTGAAAACGACTTGCCTGATCAGCCCCTTCCCTCCTATCCCACGGTCCAAACAGAGCTCCCTTGTGTGTTGTCGAATCCTCACACCACATCGCTAGCAAAGTCTTCCGGATGGCGAAAGGGATGAGCCACACGAGTGACAAGTGACCTCTGCCCTCCCCGCGCGCGCACTTACCAGGCAGTGGTCCTCCAGCTCCTGATACGCCGATCGCAAGTCGTCCGCCTGGCTTCTGGCCAGCGCTGCAGCTGCCTCAGCCAGATGGGCCTTACCCTCCGCCAGCTCGCGCCCCATCTCCTCGTTCTCCTCCTGTGGGATTAGCAGCACGTGATTAGGGCCATAGCATGATGTGACACGGCATGGCATGACGTGCGGAATTGGAAAACAAAAAGGACTGGATTTGCCGCAGCAAAATCCTTTGTACTCGCGCGATTCTCCCCAAAACGTTCCAGCCCATACGTACACAGGCCACACGCGAAAACCGAGGAAAACGATAGCAAATACCCAGTAGCAAACACTCATACCTGCAAGCTGCGGCACTTTGCCATGAGTTGCCGTCCGACCTTGCTCTCCTGCGTGAAGGTAACTGCCGCAAGCTCCTCACGTGCCGTCGCCAGCTCTGCCTGCGCACCCTCCAGCTCCGACCGCAGCCGCGCGAATTCACGCGCCACCGCTGGGTCTAACATCAGCTGCTTGAGCTGCACTACGGAAGGGTCGGCGGCGGAAGCGGCAGCCGCCAGCTCCCGCCGCAGCTCCAGCGCCTCTAAATTTCGGTCGGCCAGCTGCATCTGCAGGGCAGCATCGCGGCGGCGGAGCTGCCGGAGCTCCTCCTGAGGGGCGGTTCATGGATGCGGGAGGTGGGCCGCTTATCGAGAGGGAAGATAGGGGATAACGGGCCGTGGTGGCGGATGGTGGTGGCGGTGGCAACTGTCAAGTAGTCCCCGCGCGTGGCAGCTCAATGCGAGGAAGAGAGAAATGGACACCGGGCAATGAAAAATGCGGAAGCTGGAGGTTGCAGGGTATGTGGTTGGGGTTATGCCATTGAAGCAGCATCACAGTAGGCGGGAGCCCGAGTCCTTGTAGGCGTCAAGGGAAGGGGCGGATATGCAACAGATTGGTCCAAAGCTTACGGGATGGCAGCAGCAATGTGCGGGCAGAGCCGGGGCCTGCTCATTGCATCACCGCAAGGGCTATCGGAGGGTTCAGTCGAAACAGGAATGAGGATGCCAAGGAAACATCAGTTGGCAAGCAGCGCTACAACCCTGCGTTAGAGAGGAACACTGCCTACGTCAACACGCAGCACAAGCAACAACTCTATGCATCTGCTTGGTGCATTATATCACTACTGGTTCGCATCGCTGGCATGCGGAGCGGCCCTTGTGGATTAGTCAGCGGCAAGCCCTGATGTCTCTTCGACACACGGCAAGTGGCAGCTGCTGACACCCACCACTCAGGGTCCATCCGTCCGCTGCGTCGCCAGCTACCAAGCGGGCTACGAGGCGGCGTGGCGCCATGGCAGACGAGCGGCAGAGGAACGTCTGGGTACAGGCGACAAGCCTCCTAAGGCAGCTGCCAGGACCCACAAGCCGTCTTTGTACACCGTATACCACAGCACATCCTTTAAAGCCGCAACACGCGCAACACATAGCAGCACTGGACGGCACTCTCAAGCAAAGCTCCAGCACACCAGCCGCAGGACGAACAGCCAGCCATGTCGGACGGGAAGTTGGAAACGTGCCGGGGGACAGACCACGGGTCGCAAACGGCAGATCACAGGGAGAACACCGCGAGCCGCAAGCACATTTCCACGCACACATGCGTCCCATAGGCTAAGGTCCTAAGGTCCAACAGGGACACGAGTTGCACACCACGCCCTCTTGGCAGAAATAAAATCAAGATAACATACACTTCCCGACACAGACACTACCACAAACATAGCTTTCTTAGTTTTCGCACAACCCGTGCTGCCTTAGCGAAAGAATCGACGCAGGCTGTAACAGCGCATAGGGTTTTCCAGAGAGGCGGTTATCTCGCGTCGCGCGCATTGCACACGCCTTTCCGGCGCGCTTGTGTACGAGCAGCGCAGTGGAGAAGAATAGAAGGTATAGGTAGAGCGCACCATGCCGTGTGAACCGGGATTGCCTGGTGAGTTTGGTGTCCCTATTGTGAAAGCTAACTTTATCAATGGTTCAAAGAGCTGCACAAGCTCTCGAGCTCTCCTGAAGGTATCCTCCTCACGCAAGCAGGCCGCACTTTCACTACACGTACACGTACAACGATTTCAGCCTTAGCTGGAAAGCGACATTTCTTTAGCCATCCAAACCACAAACAGGCATCCGTTTTCCGTTGCGCCATGTGGAAATTCGTCGCCTCCGGCAAACAGGCATCCATCAAAGCAAGCAATCCACAATTGCCATTTCGGGTCCCAGAGACCCCGGCAAGCCTTGGCAACCTCTTATCACGCATGTACCATAGGCCCGGCTCGCTTGCCGTCTTGGCATGGGCGCCGCTACTGGACAAAGCTATCACCTAAGCAACCCAGCCGAGCTTCCACCCCTAGCATACCCCAACCCTATTCGCCACAAATAGTAAGCCAAACAGTTAACTACCATGTAGAAATGCTGTCCAAGGGATCAGTGGACGTCGTTCATCCAGGGCCTGCACCTTGTTCGGCTTGCCACCCAACTCGCTTCCGTAACGGCACGAAGTAACGAGGCAGGGGAGAGGTTGACAACTCGGCCGCACATGTAAGGCATCCGAGGCCACCCCGCTTGCGCACGTGAATCACGTCCATTGCCGAACACAGGTGAGTACCACAGCGCACATTGTCTCGCCGCGCCGCCCTCCTCCCGCACCTGGGCGCTTGATTCCGACGCCTTGATTCGCCGCACAGTCTCCAGAACAGTATGCACATCAGGATCACGATTTGCGGTGTGCACCCCGCATATGCTGGCTACCTCCTTAAATGCGTTGCGCCATCGATCTGCTGCTGCCTGCTGGACTTCTCGGGCTCTACTGTCCTGTGGGACTCGGCAAGGGATGGCACGGACGGTAGGGACGGAATGGCAGGGTTCAATAGAGGCGGCAGGGAGAGGGGAAAGACATGCCACGGTTGTATTGCAACCAAGCAGACCCTTAAGGGTACTCATAACCTCGAGGACCACGCAGGGCTTTAGGGTCATAGGCTGGAGTACGCACCCATCGTAACCCAAGTCCCAACCCCGGTGTCCTGGTCTTACCCGAGTGTCCTGTTCACGGCTGCCTGGTGGGTCTGAGAAAAGGTCCCTGCGGATGCACCAAAAGGCAAAGTGCATCCATGCAAGTGAGGTTGCGCTCTGAAGCTGCGCAAGTCGTCGAGACAAGCTTACGTTCAAGCCTACCTGGCGGACGGGATCGCAGGTGGAACCGTCGTGTTGACTCCTTTCCCTCTCAGCGCATCCACAGCTGCCAAACCCTAAAAAAGGAGGTTTACAGTTCAGGGATTGCCAAGGTAATGTTCCGTTGTAAAGGCGCTCAGCAAGCACCTGTCCAGATGAGCCCGGTAGGTAACTATCGTCAACATCGCCAAAGCCTCCATCGTAGTCTCCACCAGAATCACCATAAAGATCCCCTCCATACAGATCATCCTGCGCCAAGGGAGCCTCGTAAGTTTGCCTGCAACGCCTATTTGGGTGCAACCGGAGACAGCTAACCTCCATGATAGGTACGTGCTATTATTTTTATCTTTGATAAGGACAGGAGTTTGCAGTGGTCCGCAAGACCAAGTAAGAAAAGAGCGCTGAAAGTCAAAAAACGTAATTATGTCGCGTGATGTAAGTTATTCGTTCCCATTCACGAGAGGAAAACCCAGGGTGCACGGTATATTGTTACAGAGTTCATCCAAGTTGCTAGGTTTGCACATGGGATTCCGCTCGTTACGTACGGCAGCCGCCGCTACGCGTACAGTTTTTCCTTAGCATAGCTATGAATATGTAGTGCGACCGATCGACTATCATCCCCTTGTCCTGTCTAATGACAGCAATGGCGAGCCCACTTGTGTCCGCCCCCTTGTTCCAAGGGGTGGACAAGAATTCGGCGGGTTACAAGCTGCTTTCGTCAATGGGTTGGAGGGAAGGCGAAGGTTTGGTGAGCGCTGCTTGCTCACAATGCATTTGTCCTACAGCCATCTGAGGCAAGGCGGCCATTTCTGTCGGCGGCGTGCCCTTACCCGTTTGTGTACAGGGCGCCCAAAAGCAAGGAATCAAAGAGCACGTCAAGGTCAAGAAAAAACATGACGCTATGGGCGTCGGCGCGGTGGGTTTGCAATCCAGGGTTTGTTGCTTTCGGCGCCATCAATGGCTCAAACCCCATCGACCTTATGGGCCACGCAGGCCGAAAACGCTCAAACCCTGCGCGAGTGGACGACAGGCATGGTCAGCTTTGACCGCATCCTCTCGAATCTGAAGGAGGTCACAGCCCGCCGTCCAACCAATCACGATAAAAGTAGCAGCAGCGGCTCAAGCGATGATGAGCCTGCGGAAAAGCCAAAAGCGGAGCAAGGAAGGGCAACTGACAAGAAGAAGGTAATTCTCCCTTCGCATTTGCTGGTCCGTAATGTCATTCCAGAAGGGGGGACCCTAGGTAATGTTGTACGCATTTCCGTACATTGCGCGCACTAAAGGCACTGCTAGCGGCCGATTCCACACTCCCCTCGAACAACATTGCCGCACAAAGCAAGATGAATCGTCCATGACTTTATCCATACCCTTCCGATTGTAGGCGAAAGGCGCCAAGCGCAAGCGCGCCTCATCGTCTTCCGATTCAGATGCCGGCAGTAGCAGCTCCTCCGAATCAGACACGAGCGCCGACGAAGGCGATGCGAAGACGAAAGGCGGCAAGGCTGCGGCGGCGTCTATTGGTGCGACTGCTGCGGCCAGCGCTGCAGCCGTGAAGCGCCTCAAGCTTGCCTCCCACGTCGGCCGCTATTCTAAGCGAGAGCGTGCCAAGTTTGTAAAAAACTATAGCGCATCAGATTTGGATGCCATTCTGGGCGGAGCAGCTGCAAAGGCCGCCGCCCAGGGCAATGGCGACGGAGAGCAAGAGAATGGCGCCGGCCAACACGGTGGCGCTGTCGGTGTGGCGCTGGCTGATCCCTCGATGTTGGGGTTCATGCCAGTCATGGCAGAGGTCAGGGCCGTACGTGGCGCCCAGGACACCAGTAGCAGTGACGATGAGGAGGAGAATGCGAAGGCCCGGACAGCATGCGCGGGGCAGCGACGTGTGGTGGTCGAGGGTAACAGCACAAGGCAAGTATGTGTGCGTCATGTAGGGTAAGGGTGCGGGTTCGAAGGACCTCGGGGACACATCCCAACGATGTGATCTCTCCTTACATCCCTTTTGTGAATTTTGGGATGTCCTCCTGTCATCATAGCATCACGGGCATGTGTAATGAGAAAACAAATGGTGGAGGCCAGGACTGCGCAATAAGCCCGGCTAGCTGCGTTCTGGTCGTTTATATGGATGTATCCCTTGTAATGGTATAGCCTCCTTATGTGCAGGGTCTCTGCACCGGGGGTAGCGGCAGGCGAGACTGTCCAGGGGTCGTCCCGGCAGCGCAGGGCGAAGGCGGCCGCTGTGCAGCAAGCGGAAGAGCAATGGGAGCCTGGAAAGAAGCCCTGGTGGGCTGGAATGTTTGTGAGAGCAGGTCGCATGGGCTCCATTAAACAGGAGCTGCGAGCCGGTCGGGATGCTAATGGCAAGGCCAGGATTAACATCACCGGCTTCAAGGAACAAGACCAGGAGAATTTGTACGAACAGGTATGGCAGCACTGGAGTGTTTGTTGCGTGGACACGGACGGGGCTGGAATTTGCACGAGGTCTGCGTGGTTGTGTGTGTGCTGTGCGTCCATTATTTCTTGGGTTTTGCTTCTACAGATTGGCGGAGAGTTTTCATGTCGTTACCGTTCAGGCGGCGATCTGACAGCGGAAATCATGCATGGGGGCAAACCTGTTAATATGAAGCGGGCCAAGGGACCTTGCACACCTTGACCATGTGTGCTGGGTGGGATTTTGAGTGCACGCGAAATCACCAAAACCTTGGCAACCACCTTGCCCCGGCTTGAAAGTGCTGGTGCAATACTAAGACACGGTTACATTCTCACGCAGCGATACAGGACAAATAATGCTCGACTAGCAAAAGCTGAGAAGCGGGCCAAGGGACCTTGCACTCCTTCACCATGTGTGCTGGGTGGGATTTTGAGTGCACGCGAAATCACCAAAACCTTGGCAACCACCTTGCCCCGGCTTGAAAGTGCTGGTGCAATACTAAGACACGGTTACATTCTCACGCAGCGATACAGGACAAATAATGCTCGACTAGCAAAAGCTGAGAAGCGGGCCAAGGGACCTTGCACACCTTGACCATGTGTGCTGGGTGGGATTTTGAGTGCACGCGAAATCACCAAAACCTTGGCAACCACCTTGCCCCGGCTTGAAAGTGCTGGTGCAATACTAAGACACGGTTACATATTCTCACGCAGCGATGCAGGACAAATAATGCTCGACTAGCAAAAGCTGAGAAGCGGGCCAAGGGACCTTGCACACCTTCACCATGTGTGCTGGGTGGGATTTTGAGTGCACGCGAAATCACCAAAACCTTGGCAACCACCTTGCCCCGGCCTAAAAGTGTTGGTGCAATACTAAGACACGGTTACATATTCTCACGCAGCGATGCAGGACAAACAAGGTTCGACTAGCAAAAGCTGAGAAGCGGGCCAAGGGACCTTGCACACCTTCACCATGTGTGCTGGGTGGGATTTTCAGTGCACGCGAAATCACCAAAACCTTGGCAACCACCTTGCCCCGGCCTAAAAGTGTTGGTGCAATACTAAGACACGGTTACATATTCTCACGCAGCGATGCAGGACAAACAAGGTTCGACTAGCAAAAGCTGAGAAGCGGGCCAAGGGACCTTGCACACCTTCACCATGTGTGCTGGGTGGGATTTTCAGTGCACGCGAAATCACCAAAACCTTGGCAACCACCTTGCCCCGGCCTAAAAGTGCTGGTGCAATACTAAGACACGGTTACATATTCTCACGCAGCGATGCAGGACAAACAAGGTTCGACTAGCAAAAGCTGAGAAGCGGGCCAAGGGACCTTGCACGCCTTCACCATGTGTGCTGGGTGGGATTTTCAGTGCACGCGAAATCACCAAAACCTTGGCAACCACCTTGCCCCGGCCTAAAAGTGTTGGTGCAATACTAAGACACGGTTACATATTCTCACGCAGCGATGCAGGACAAACAAGGTTCGACTAGCAAAAGCTGAGAAGCGGGCCAAGGGACCTTGCACACCTTCACCATGTGTGCTGGGTGGGATTTTCAGTGCACGCGAAATCACCAAAACCTTGGCAACCACCTTGCCCCGGCCTAAAAGTGTTGGTGCAATACTAAGACACGGTTACATATTCTCACGCAGCGATGCAGGACAAACAAGGTTCGACTAGCAAAAGCTGAGAAGCGGGCCAAGGGACCTTGCACACCTTCACCATGTGTGCTGGGTGGGATTTTTAGTGCACGCGAAATCATCAAAACCTTGGCAACCACCTTGCCCCGGCCTAAAAGTGCTGGTGCAATACTAAGACACGGTTACATGCCCATCGTGCTTGAATCTGACCTTCAACATGCACCCGGTCTAATCTGTAATAGCATGGTTGCTGCAATAAGCCCTGTGTTGATGCTGCTTCCCTCTTCAATGCCAAGTATGATTCTTATAGTAACTTGGCGTTAGTCAGGTACCAAACAGGAAATCACGGAGTAAGAAAATGCTTCCGACCTAAATGTATTGCTCCTGACATCCTCAGCTACCTCTTATGTCCCGATGTCCCGAGTGTTTTCCTTAACCCCGATGGTGCAGTCCCCTCCAATTCACTGTCACTTGGTTGTCAGTTGGCGCCCACTCGCTTCCTCACTCCTTTCTTTTGATCCTTGATTGATTTTGCTCCTTGATTTTTAAACCACGATGCTCCCCTGGTTTACAGGCCCAGCACGGAGCAGCTCATGGTCGGCAAGGCCTCGGTCGCAGCGAGATGCCCAAGAAGGTCGCTGGGGCGCGCTGGTGTGGCACGAAAACCAAGCTGGATGAGGACGATGAGGACGAGCAGCAAGACGATGATGCTGACCGCGATGGGGACGTTTCAGCCAGGTAGGTGGTTCTGACATGATGCTATGTAGTGGCCGGCAGCAGTCTGGGGACGGCAGATGAAGTAGAAGAATGCGATGCCCGTCGTTTTTGGCTCTTTGTATCTGCCTATCATGCAGCTTCAGCACAACGTGGCATGCCTTGTTCAACTGTTTTTTTGGTCTTTGGTTTGCTTTCGGCTTATACCTAGCTTTGTCGTGAAGAAATCTTGGAGCTTCACGCACACGGTGTGCAAAGCGCAGTTGGGGTTGCTAAGGTTTGTGGGCACCGCGTAGTAGCAATGAAGTACTGTTCTCTGTATCCTCGCAGTGGCTCCGAGATGGAGAGCGAGGACGATGGTCGCATTGTGGTGGTGCAGTCTAAGAAGGAGCAGGCGGCAGCAGCCGCAGCGGCAGCAACGGCAGTGTCTGTTCCAGAAAAGGATATGAAAACATCCGCCGAAGCAGCAACAGGTGATCGGGAATTGCAACGGCAGCATATTGGTGCCAGCAGTGCAATACGTTCGTGTACAGGGAAGGCCGCCAAGGGCCGTGGAAGTCGTTCCGGTCCTTCAGAAGAAGAGGGTGCGGGAAAGGAGGAGCGGCGGGAGGGCAGGCGGAAGCGCGACGTGAATGGTGAGGGCGGCGACAAGGAAAAGGAGGACAAGGAGAAGAAGAAGCGGAAGAAGGAGAAGAAGGGTGGCGCTGAATCTCTTGAGGCCCAGGCGGTTGAAGGGGTTGGCGGTCCTGTGGCCGCGGAGGTAGCTAACGGCGGGGTTGTGGCAACAGAAGCTGACAAGGTTAGTGACGGCAGGGGCGTGGCTAAGGCTCCAAAATGGCGGAAGCTGGTGCGGCAGATTTTGGCGGATGCGCCCGAGCGGCGACTGAAGTTGAAGAAGCTCAAAAAGCAACTGGAAGCGGCGCATGGCCTGAATGGAAGTGGGAAAAAACGCAGTGCTGGTGGCGATGTGGAGGATGCGGTTGGGATGGCGGCGGTGTTGGAGCAGCTGCGGTGTAGCAAGCAGTTCGTGGTGTGTGATAAATTTGTGACTTTGACAAAATGAGCGCTTGGGCAGGGGTGTAGGATGTGGAAAAGAGACCATTGTTAAGTAGCGGGTAGGCTGGGCGGGAATTGAAATGCAGGGAAGTCATGTGTGTTTTTGTGGTGTGCACGACAGCATACGGCAGGACATGAGCGCATGGGTATGCAGGTACTTAGTATAGCTAGAAACATTTGAGTCTAGGTGAGCGCGATAGAAAAGAGAACGTACAGCTGCAAGCTATGCTGTGCGAGTGATGAGAGGTGTCGTGTGTCAAGGAATTAGGCCCTTACTAATCGTGGTTAGTGTACTGTTGGTTCGATTACGTGTAAGGAGCCGAGAGGAAGGAAAGTAAGTTATCATATGGCAGTTGACGTGTGTAGTAAACTAAATAGGGGGGTCCTTGTGAAGCAGCTGCCCGCGTTTCCAAAGCACGTATGGTGTTGGATTGTAAGGTGCCCAAGTACGTTTGCGAGGAAGAGAATGTGGCCAAGCTGGAGAGGAAAGTGCAGTGGCATATTGGAATGTGAGATTGGCGCACGGGCGAATTTACGTGCAAATTTTTCACCGTAGCATCAGTCCTCAGTTCACTTCTTGGAACGAACATCAGCATAGGTGCAAGCCCTCTCGCTTGGAGGGATATGCAAACAAACATCCTGATAGGGGTAAACTCGCACGCTACCGAGCATTCAACCGAGCACATGCATGCTTAGTTGAATGGTGAGATGCGACCCCCCCTTCATTTCGTGCTCGGCAAGCCTGCCACCGCGTACCGGATATGTTGGCGATGTTACAGAACGCTGCACCTTGGTTTCTGTGCGCATTGCGTACGTTGCTCGACCCCGCCGACCAAAACTACACGAGCCCAACTGAAGACATTCCCGGTGGTTGTGCAGCAGCTCTTGAGGCTGTTGTTGGCTGAAATCCATCCTGAGCTGTTGCAACACGGCTAACGCGGGCACGTCCCTATGCACAGCAAATAGCTGTTCCAAGCCATCAGCGGCGTCCATGTCACCGACAAGGCTCTAAACGTCTTATCTGTTCTTATGTTTAATTAAGTTTATGTATATTATACTTTGCGCAACTTTGTAATTTGACTTTACTCTGAACAAGGTGCTGCATACAACTGCCTCTTCGCCAGCGCTTCATCTTCCGCGGCAGTTTCACGAGCCCAGAGTTGCAGGCTACGACGTTGGCTTTCGGTGCTTTTAGTTACTGCAAAGCAGCCACGCAATAGTCCAGCCTGCATTCCGCGTGCGGCTGTTTCTAACATGCCCACCTGCGCAACGCGCTGGCGCACCTCGGCCTTTTCGCCAAAAAAATATATACACTTGTACACGCGCAATTTGTGAATCGCAAGCGCGCACCCGCGCGGTGAAATTCGCTCCTGGCTTTTGGGGCGTGATGTACGGACCTTTTATTCGCGAAGTACGACCGGACACATTTGTGCGAGGGGCTGCTTAACAATATTAACCCGACATAGAGTTGCAAAAGTTTATAGCCATTGTTGTGCAGCGATTCGTTAAGCAGCCCCTCGCACAAATGTGAGCGGTCGTACTCTGCCGAATAAACGGTTCGTACATCGTCCAAAAAAGCCAGGAGCGAATTTTGCCGCGCGGATGCGCGCGTGCGATTCGCAAAATGCGCCTGTATAAGTGTATATAAATTTTCGTGGAGAAAGGACGAGGTGCGCCAGCGCGTTGCGCAGGTGGGCATGTTGGCCACAGCCGCACGCGGCATGCAGGCTGGACTATTGCGTGGCTGCATTGCAGTAACTGAAAGCACCGAAAGCCTACGTCGTAGCTTGCAAGACTGGGCTCGTGAAACTGCCGCGGGAAGAGGAAGCGTCTGACGAAGAGGCAGTTGTGTGCAAGCAAACGGTCGCGTTTTTGGTAGTGCAACGTATACAGCACCTTGTTCAGAGTAAAGTCAAATTACAAAGTTGCGCAAAGTATAACATACATAAACTTAATTAAGCATAAGAACAGATAAGACGTTTAGAGCCTTGTCGGTGACATGGACGCCGCTGTTGGCTTGGAACAGCTATTTGCTGTGCATAGGGACGTGCCCGCGTTAGCCGTGTTGCAACAGCTCAGGATGGATTTCAGCCAGCAACAGCCTCAAGAGCTGCTGCACAACCACCGGGAATGTCTTCAGTTGGGCACGTGTAGTTTTGGTCGGCGGGGTCGAGCATCGTACGCATTGCGCACAGAAACCAAGGTGCAGCGTCTCTGTAACATCGCCAACATATCCGGTACGCGGTGGCAGGCTTGCCGAGCACGAAATGAAGGGGGGGTCGCATCTCACCACTCAACTAAGCATGCATGTGCTCGGTTGAATGCTCGGTAGCGTGCGAGTTTACCCCTATCAGGATGTTTGTTTGCATATCCCTCCAAGCGAGAGGGCTTGGTCCAAGCGAGAGGGCTTGGACCTATGCTGATGTTCGTTCCAAGAAGTGAACTGAGGACTGATGCTACGGTGAAAGGTATGCACGTAAATTCGCCCGTGCGCCAAACGCCCTGTAACTCGCTTACGCTAATCTCACATTCCAATATGCCACTGCACTTTCTTCTCCAGCCTGGCCACATTCTCTTCCTCGCAAACGTACTTGGGCACCTTACAATCCAACACCATACGTGCTTTGGAAACGCGGGCAGCTGCTTCACAAGGACCCCCCTATTTGCAGCATCGTCACACGCGTCATCGTTAAAGTATGCAGCAACCGTTAATAGATGTCCGTGATGAGTACGTGATTGGGTAAAAGAACTAGCGTATGGCCACAACAATACGTCACGCGCCATCATGGGTATCGAGTGTTACGGTTGATCTACCCTCCATGAGAATACCGCAAGTCTGGCCGAACCAGAAATCTCGTCTTTCCAATATTGGGCATCTTTCACAGCACGGTCTGATCAGCTGTAGGCAGCCGGTGAAAATCCCGCGACTATACTGAGTTATTGCATGTGGTAAATAGGTAAAACAGAAAGTCCAATTCTGCCGCCGAAAAGCCGCGACGATGCGGTGCGTTCAGCCGCGCTTTTACAGCCACAACTGTTCCATTTGAGTCCAATTATGCCATTGCTCACGCACAGCTACCTCTATGTCGGCTGATAGTCCCTATCGTGACAAGTTCAGCAAGGTAAAACAGTCTTAGAGGAATCCATCCACCCGTCACCTTCTTGTAATCAGCTATCGCGCCCGTAGTGATCAAGGACAAGATACTCACCCCAAGCCTTTCCGTTAGAAGCCGCACGAACCCCCTTCCTTTCCGGTTTTAGACCTGGGCCGGTCGCAAGTTCTCGACATGCGATCGTCAGTAGCCCCGCCGGCGGGGCCCCCGCCCGCTGAGCATGGGTTCTACGTTGCCTTCCCCGGGCCCTTGCGTCTCCTCGCCGCCCACCTGCATCATCGGACCAGACCCAAGCGCCGACGCGAGCTGCTGCAGCGCGACCAGGTACGCAGGGCCCACAGAGGACATCAAATAGTGGGTGAACGCGGGCAGCCGGCGAACCCACCTGGCCCGCTGGGCCTCCCGCCGCTGCCGTGCCGCCTCCATGCGGCAGATGGCCGTGAGCGCAGAAAGGCGGTCCATCGCTGCTGCGCGACTGCCGCCACTGGCGCAGTAGTACATTGGCGACGCAGTGGCCAACAGAGCCCCGTGCACTGCGCTCAGTTGCCAGGGCGAGGGCTGATCCGTGTGAGAGTTTAGCGGAGCTGCCTCCAACCCCAACTCCAATTCAAGCGAAGAAGAGGCCGCGGCTGTAGCAGCCGGAGCCAGCGCATAGGTAGGTTGGAGAGGATGCAGTGGCTGCAGGCGAAAGCGCTGCGTTGCCGTGGCAGCGGCAGCAGAAGCCAACCGTGCGGCACTGGCGGCGGCCTCCGCTGCACATTCTTGCCCCATGGTACCGGCTGGCTCCCCGGACCCCAGCCCCGCCGCCTCTGCCTCCACGGCCAGCACGGATAGCAGCCTGCCGGGCATGTCCTCCTGGTCTCGCACGGCATCTGCCATCACCCATGCCGCCCTCGTATTGCTGTACTTGTTGTAAAGCGCAAATGACGGCGGTGGCTGCAGCGCCATGTTTGTTCCCAATCTGAGGGGTTGTACTGAAGCATACATGGCTTGGTGGTGAGTCGGACAGGCCCCCGAGACGGGCACGAAGGAGTCATGGGGCATAGCGAGGATATCCAGGTCCGACAGCATGCCGTACATGTCTGCTAGGGCTGCCTGCATATGACAAGCACGAACTGCTGCCTGAAGCTGCGGTGGCAGATTAAGCGGCGCGCTGACATCACCAGTCCGCTGCCATGGCGCTGCAAAGGCCGCCAAGGCCGTTGGGTTGCATGGTATGGGCGGCGGGGCAGGAGGCGATAGCCACGCCGGCGCAGAGAGAGTGGAGACCAAGGGAGCGGCAGGGGTGTGATTGGCCTCGGGCCCCGTGTCACCTCCTGCACCCTCTGGGTGTGTTGCCGGTGTAGACGCAGCACCTACTTCGTCACCACCCTCAGCAACGTCGGCTGCATCAATAGCAGCAGACCGCAGCGGCGCCGCGCCAGCGGCATCCATGTCGCATGGCACAGTCTCCGCCTCCACTACTTTTGCTGCCTCACCGGACACAGACGGTGAGAGATCCGTGTTTTGCGTCGACGCAGGTGCTCCGCTGACTGCACGTGACGGTGCGCGCGATAGGCGGCTGCGTTTCGCGCCAGCACCACTGCCGCTCACCGGCGCCATCGCCCCCACCCACGTCCCTAACCTACATGCCTCTGAATGAGTCTCTGCCTCTGCATCTGCGCTCGCAGCCTCCGAAGCACGTCGCTTAAGCCTTAAGGACTGCTGCTTCTCCTGCTGGTGCACATGTCCATCGTACGAGGGTGGTGTTGTTATGTCGGCACCCGGTGATGTGAAGCATCTTGCTTCTTCTGCTGCTACAGCTACATCCACGGGAGCATGTAAGCTACCTAGGACGTAGCTATCCTCGCCTTGCTGCGGCTGTTGCTGGTCCCCCATATCCAACAGGAACTGCTGCTGCTGTTGCTGTTGCTCAGGCAGCTGGCCCTGCTTGGTGCAACCTTCCGTGCCGGCTAGTAGCCGCGACGCCTCCGCTATCTGGTCTGCCGGCCAGCGTTCGGCTTCGCAGGCGGCCCCCTCAGGCAGCTCGTCCACAGTGCCAGCCACAGCAACAGCTGCAGCATCATAGACCTCGTCAGCATCTTCGCCCGCGGGCTCGGTTACATCCTCGGCCGGCAACATGCGCCCAGCCGGGCCTCGCGGCCGTTGGTTGACGGTCCGAGCTGTGGACCGTGCGGCTTCAAGCTCCAACCACCTGCACAGGATCCGTCCAACACGGGGGGTTGGGCCAGAGCCGGGCGACGAGATGGATATAACTTCCCAGGGAGGGCGGACTGAACAGAATAGCTGCATAAAAGGATTGAGCAGTGCCAGGAAGCCCTCTGACCATTTGTAACGACAATCGTTTTTCAATCCCGTTGTAGCAGACAGGACTCAAAGCCTCTTTTAGGAGCTGACGGCCATATAGTCCGTACCTGCTGGGGGCATAAGAGGGGCTAGAATTACGAGATCGGCTGCGTTAGGGTTCTTCTTCATCCTCAAAGAGCTCCACCATTGCCACCTTTCCTGAGAGAAGGTATCAACCTTCCCAACCCCCCCCCGTCCCGCACCTGGCCGCTAGCTGCTGCTCCCTAGCCCGCTTGCATGAATCAGCATACAGCTGCCACTGCTGCTGTCTTCCCGCAGGCCCGGTAGGCGCTACACCTTGTTGGCGCAGCAGCTCCGGTTCCGGCTGCTGTGGTGGCATCACCGGGGTAGTAGGAGCCGTACCTTGCATATTTTGACTGGGTAACCACATTTGGACATGTGGAAGTACGGCCGTAAGGTAGTCTGACATATCCTCGGGCCCAGTCAATCCGGCTGCCATGGCTCCCGCCGCTGCGAGAGCAAAGCCCTCGACGGCGCGCCGCGTGCTTTCAAGTACGGCACTGCATCCTTCTCCACTGCCGTCACCGTCGCTGGCCACAGCAGCAACAGCATCCGGCAGGAGTGGGAGGCGCACCATGCGCTCATTGCAGGCTTGGCCTACACAGTGCTGCAGCGGTGAGGGGCTTGGTATGCTTCCGCTTCCGGCTGCTCCCCGCCAGAACTGAGCTTCCATCAGGGTGTGCCGCAGGTCGCCTCGACAACTCCGCACTAGGTGCAGCAGCGACGGGAGCAGCGGCAGCTGCTCATCTGGAGAGGCAGCTCGCGGCCCAGACTGCACATCGCCATTGCAGTCACCGCAACCGCTGTCGCCACCGTCATCATCGGCGCTCAAGTCCACTACCTCCGGGCCCCCCACGTTGGCGGCGTCGCGTCCATCAGCCAGACGCGTCTGGTCTGCGGCGACCGCTGCAGCAGGCGGCGGTAGCACCGGGGCCCGCCGGCCCTGGTGGTGCTGCTGCTGCTGCCGCCCTGGCCCGATGGCCGCAGCGCAAGCCATGACCACGGTGCGCAGGATCTGCTCCTCCGCTGCAGGCTGGAACTGCAGCTCCTGAAGCCCCAGGCTACACAGGGCAGGCGGTAGCTGCCCGCGACCCGCGGTCAGGATGATGGGCCTCTGTCGCGCAAATACGGGGAACGAGGCGGAGTGTGATAAGGGCGGGCAGGACGACGGGCAGGCAGAGGAAAGGATAGGAAGGGGAGTAGGGCATGCATGAACGCCAGGGACGGTAAGACAGATGAATCGCAATGCGCCAGGCCAGGCCAGGGAGGATCAGCCATAACTGTATTCGCAGCAGTAGCAGTAGCAGCAGCAGCAGCTTTATTGCCGCAGCTTGCAGTGCTTCTAAAGCGTGCACATCAGGCTTGCCCCATGGCGAATATTCATGATACATGACCAGTCGCGGCCATACAGCAAAGCGCAGGGTCCACGCACCCACAGCTCCCCCTGGCGGTTACCTTGGACTGTTGGATGATCGATAACAGGGCGCCCGCAAAGCCTTTGTCCTCATCAGGCAATATATCCACCTCATCAAACAGCATGAGTGTCACTGACCCAGCGCCGTCGGCAGGAGCTGCATTCGGGGCCGCGGTGGCGGTGGCGGCAGGGGCCGCCGCTGCGTCCGTGGTGCCAAAGAGCCTTGCAGCAGCGGCGGCAGCGCCGCCGCCGGCCCCGCCGGCGCGGCCGCCGCGCCGTCGTTTCACGGGTGACGGGGAAGAGAGCGAAGATGCAGGGGAGGCGGAGTCGCCATCCAGGGCTGCGGCAGCGTGGGACAAGCGTAACAGGTACAGTCAGTCATCAGAGTTTAAAACATGGAATACTCGCAACCGGAAGAGAGCGATGCTTTCCGTGGGCTGTCCAGCTTCCCCGCAGGCGAACTCGTATCGTCATACAGCATTCCTCTCCGGGGCCTTTTTCCAAGCCTAATCTTCCCAACTGCATTTTGATGGCGCAGTAGGAATTATGTCCTAAGCTAAGATGCCTGTGGCATTGGTATTCCACACTCAACATGTCTGTGGGAATCTTTCATCCCTTCATCCCCGCCGCCAACAGCCATTCCCGCCGGCCGTCGCGCGACTCCTCTCACCCACGGCCTTCCGTGACGCTCTACGGCCAGCGCCGGCGCCGCCTCGCCGACCCCGGCCAGGCGCCTCTCGCTGCCCTCGCCTGCCGCCCTTGGCTGCTGTTCCCCCTCCCCCTCCCGCTCCTGCTGCTGGTAGGACGCCCTTCCCTCCCATCTGCGCGCCCCCGCCGCCGCCTCCACCCACCGCCAGCCCATGGACCAGTCTCCTGTAACAGGGAAGGGGCTAAATCATAAACGCCAAAGCATAAGAGCGGAACAACAGGCGACGGGCATGGATGAAATTCGATCATGCAATCTGGGGATGGTTGATTTGGGGCGCTGCGGTGCAAAGAGCGCGTGCGATAATAAATATTATTACTGACCCATAGGACTGGCCCACCCTGACGGACCGAAACGTGCACCGTTGATTGCAGACGGCGGCGCCTGGCCGTTCCCCACACCAGGAGGCCGTTCCGCCACCGGCGTCTAGGCCAAAGCCATCGATTGTCAGCCATACTGCCACCACACGCATCCCTCCACCGCATTGCCTCATGCTGTGCTATATCACACTGTGCTGCTGCATCCGCAGTGCCACAACGCAGCACGGCCCTCCTCCCACGGCTCCTCCCACTCCTCCGAGCGTGGCGTAATTCACTGCATCTTTCCCACTCGCCATGCCCTGCGATTTTCCACCAAGCCTGATCGTCGTTGCGGCCCCCTTGCTTTACCACCTTTCCTCAACCGCCATTAAATCATCACCCCGTACCTGCTCTTGGTTGCCTCTCCCACCATGCGCAGGAGCTGCGGTCCGCTGCGATCCGCGGACGGGTTCACCTCTAGTACGCGAAAGCCCAGCTCCGAAGCCACTGCGTAGGCGGCAGCGGTCTTGCCGCAGCCGGAGGGGCCGCGGAGCACCAACGCGGTGGGAAGGCCTAACGACGTAGGGTAGGGCAGGGCAGGGGGAAGTTTCAACGATATGAGCTTCAAGTGGTACGTGCGGCATAAGCCGTGCAGGTGAGCCCGCCGATTAGGTCAGTGTGGAATGACAGATGAGCGTTTGGTGCGATGCGCTGTTTGGGCTACACAACACAACACCCCCCCCAATTGAGCGGCGGCTACTTGACTACGCAAACGTCGTATATTACTTGCGAAAAAGGCGTCGTGGCGTGTTTTGGCCACTTCTTAACCTGTTTATTATTTGTGTTTGGCGGACTGTAGGTCCCCTCCCCGCATACACAGACAGACAGCTGGGGACCCACCCTTGTACTCGGCACCACCGCCACCGCGAGCCTCCCCGTCACTGTCGGCGGTGCCCCCCGCCGAACGGGCGTCCCACTCGCTATCGTCATTGTCAGTGAAGAACGACCCGGAGGAAGCGTCGCTGAGCCGCCGGTCCCGCCGCGTGCGCGATGCAGCAACAACGGCACCTGCGGTCGAGCACCCATCCAACACATGGAAAACAGCGGGTAAAAGCAGTAGTAAGGGCAGTAGCCACAAAGGGACGGGAATCAAAAGATATAATACGGAGGTTTATGATTGGTTGCCCACAGGGCCAGTATAGCACGGCCTCGATCTACAGCAGCCGTTAATTGCTGCTCGGTTCATCCAGCCACGTTTTATTCCATGCTGTGTTTTATAATGTGTTTCAACCTCAGTGCCGAGATGAGGTTGTTCGTCTCTGTGGCTTGCCAAAGGCGAGCGACCCTCCCATCGCCCCATCCCGCCACGCCCTGTAGTCCGGTCTTTCTGCCCCTGTCCCAAATCCTGCCAATGGCAGTGTGTAGTGGGTCGGGGTCACAAACCATCCCAAGCCAGCCAGGCAACAAGTACACACCTTGGGACGAGCAGCAATTCCACCTCAGACCGCCTTCGTTCGTTGCTGCCTGGCCGCCCATATTGACACTACCAAAACCCGGTGGCGTTTCCCCGGCCTAAGCCTGCCAACGTGCCACACCTTAACTAACCTTACTTCAACGCACCGGTCATCATTCTTTGCGCCCCCTACCTTCCTCACGTCGCTGTCCCTCCAGCATGATGACTTCCCGCCACTGCTGCAGCCAGTCACGAAGCCGACTGACCTGGGAAGACGAAAGGGAAAGAGGTGCGGCAGCGGTGCCGAGGCACAACAGGGGCATGAGAACTCCAATCGACGCGATGGGTGTGAAGACACAAAGGGGCGTGAACTGCGGACGGCATCCTGTGTTGCTGTGCGCCGCAAGTTGCGTCCTTATTAGCAATCACCGGTTTGTCCTGCTCCGTGCCTTATTCGTACGGCCCATACATGAAGAACAACACGCGGCGTTCTACTTACAGACACAACGCATGGAACACACCTGTGCGGTGTTGCCGCATAGCTCCGCGGCGCAGACGGGTTGTTGTGCCGTGCACCACAGCTGGTCGCAGGAGATGGCTGCGGCCGGGGCTAATAGTGCTCCAGCAGCTGCCCTGCCACTCGCCCCATGGCCCGTCCCGGTCTCCGGAGTTGCGTTGCCGAATGCACTGCGAGGGGCTTCCGGCGGCTGCAACAGCTGTTGCTGCACAGCGACGCGCCTCCTCCGTAAAGTGAGCTCGTCCGTAAGCTGCCGCAGGATTTCCTCCCTTGTTGGTAAGTCCAGCAACTGCAAGACGCGTTGTGTTTTGATTTTTTGTGTGCATATTCTCATGGAAGATATTATGGAAAAGGATCGAGAGGCTGGAATGCTGGTACGTAGGTCACAGGTTTATGTGAGGCATTCGTGTAAAAACATCGAATTAGCACGGCAGATAGCGTATGCCGTAACTGCATAGCACCGCATGATACGTGTATGCAGGGTTGAGGTAACGCAGCTGTTTTTGGTCAGGAACGCTTGTTCGGTGTCCGCACGAAGATACACAAGAGCAGATCCAGGATTTCTAACGCGCCAGGCTACCACCCAGGAGGCCCGGGAGCTCGGTTAGCCGTATGCATCAGTCAGCGGACTAAGCCACCGGCACACGGCAAAATGGATTAGGTGTACAGTTGGAGGAACCCGGTGGAACCGGTGGGCCGGCGGGAATCCTCTACTGCTGGCTCCTATCGCAACGGCATGCACGCGCCCACTCGGACTCCGTACCTCAGCCGCCACATAGACCTCCTGCTGGCCGCCGCCGCCTTCCTCCCGTCGCTGCGCGTCCGCCAGGTACGCGGCAAGCTCCTCCAACAACGGAGCAGCCCTGTCGAAGAAGCCGCCGCCGCTACCTGTTCGGCCTTCCTGCTCTGCTGCCGCCGCCACCTGGGTCGTGTCGCCGTTGTGCGGGGCAGCTGCCGGTTGGCCATGGCGGTGCTGTTGCGGGACGGTCACCACCACTGGCGTGGGACGGAGGAAGGAGAACCGCAGCGGGACTGGGCCGCTGGCCTCGGCACCCTCAGCGCCAGCGGGACGCTGCGGGCCTTCAGAGGCCACGAGGCGAAACAGACCGCCATTGTCCCTGTGCAACCGGCAGCTAACTGCCGCAGTAATCGCCGCTGCCGCCGCTCCATCGCCACCTATCGTGCCGTCAGTTGCTTGCCGTACATGTACGGGCGCCAGCGCTGGCAGGAGCCGGTCTCCAGCGTCGCCGTTGGGGAGGCGCTTGATGTATGTACCTGCCTCGCCACCTGTGTCCATGATCCCAAGACAACCGTCCACACCAGTTATGATAAACCCACAGACATAAAAGGGTTGAAAGAAGAGAGGGATAGGGTGTAAGGATGGTGGTTCTTGGCAACTACTGGTGTAGGCCTCAGCGCCCGCGACCATTGCGGACCCGCAGGTTGGAAGGCAGAAAGACAGGGGGCCTTGGTCACGACCTTGGTCACTTCATCCAATGATCATGTGCCTTGTATTTGGCACCTTTCGGGCGGGCCCCATGGGACACCTTGTACCGCTTTAGGGCGGGCCGCGACTGCAATTCCCTTCCCTCGAAACGCCACTGGGTACATCCAGTAGCAACAATATGAAGGGAGGTTCCTCATAGGGCCCTGACAAGAGTCCTCCCTATAACTGAGGAGGCGTCCCATCCGTCCGTCGCACCTGCTGAAGGGTCCAGTCGTTTCCTAGCCCGGAAGAATGGGTTTACCGGCACCGGGGGCACCGGCTTGGTAGGAGACGCAGGCAGGTCTATGCCCTCCAACGCGCCAGCCGACGCCTCGGCACGCTGACGCTCCCGCTCCCGTGCCCGTGCGCGCTGCTGTAACTCCGCCGCCTCTCGTTGCTCGCGCTCCCGCTGCTCGCGTTCCTCAGCTGCCTGCCGCTGTGCCGCCGCCGCCGCCGCTGCCTCCTCTTCCTGCCGTTGCTTTTGCCTCCGCCGGCGCTCCGCTACTGACAAGAACATCTCATTGACAGGACCTGTTGGCTTTGCAGGCGCGGCCGCCTGTGCCGCGGCAGCGGCGGCGCCACAATCGCCGCCGCCAGAGGCCTTCACTGGCCCAGCGTCCGCAGTGGGGGCCCCATGGCCTGGCTGCAAGGGACGGTTTTCCTTCGCCTCATCGGACGCCATCGGACACGCGGTCTCAGCCATACCTACTGCTGCTGCGGCACCTGTGGCGGCGACACTAGTTGCCTTGCACGTCCCGGAAGGCAGTAGATGTAAGGCTGCGTAGCTCCCCTGTTCCCCCAGCTTGCCGCGCAGAGGCGCTACTGCGCCCGCTGGCTCGCCTAAGCCTGCTGCCGAGTCATCGGCTGGTGCAGCAGATGCACCAGCGGGGCCCGCCGCCGCCTCACCGCCTCGCCGCGGACGGCCTTCGCGCTGCGGGTCACCGGCAGCACAGCTTCCGCGTCGCCCATGCCCGCCACGGCCTCGCCCACGGCTCCCGCGGCCCCTGCCCCGGCCCCGCCGGCGGGCGAGCGCCGGTGGCTGATAGTCGTCCTCCCCCTCGTCGTCTCTTCCCTCGAAGCTGCTGGCCGCGCAATCGGACAGGGCCCCCGCTGTAAGCCCATCAGGACTCTGTGCCCCTGGCGTGACAGCCTCACCGCCACGGCCGTCGTGACCGCGTCGCCCCCGTGCAACTCTGCCTTCCACGTCGCCTCCACGGCTGCCGCGCCGTTTCCTCTTGGCTGGCGTCGGCATGCCCCCCCCGCCAACAATGCCGCGATTGCCGCCGTGCGGCTGCGCCGTGCCCAACCCTGCTGGATCAGGGCCGGCCGCCGCAGCAGCATCTGGGGCCAGCGCGCCAGGTAATAGCGCTTGGCGACGGGGGCGTGAGGCGTTGGGTGGCGCAGCTGCCGTAGGCCCAGGCTGATCTCCCCGTGCGGCGGGCACATTGGCTTGCTGCTGCTGCCGTAGCTCTGGGTCTAGCGAAGAGGCACTGGGTGGATCAGCACCGGCGGCAACGGGGGCCGTCGTACCCGTGAGGTCAATGCGCTCTGGATCAGGGGCACGCGGCTGGGTGAGGTCGGCCAAGGCTACATTTTCAGACGGTACCGGGTTCGGCTGAGGAGCCACTGCTAAGTTTACGTGCGTTCCGGGTCCGTTGTCTGGTTCCTGAAGCGGAGGCTGCGGAGGTGCAGGATGCGGCTGTACTGGCGGTTCCGCTCGGCTGCAGTGTGCCACGACTGGGAGAGCAGCTGGGATGGGAGGTGCAGCGCCTAGCTTGGTTTCCTTAGAACACCGACGCATTTGCGGTGCAAAGAAGGATATCTTCGACTGGACTGTTCGCTTTGGGCCGGCCCCAGCAGCGCCCACCGGTGCCGCCGGCACGGCCCAGCCTGCTGGGACCGCTGTGGCAGGTGGACGGGGTTCCTGCTCAGCTGCAGCTGTTGGCTCAGCAGTACGTGCGCCTGAAATTTCGACGCCATCCCCTGTATTGACCTCCACAAATGGAGTTACCTCATCGCTTACGCCTTGCTGTCCAGCCTTTGCTGCATGAAGTGGCGGAGCTGCTGTTGTGGCTCCCACAGCCGTCCCTGCCGCTTCCAGACCTTCGTTCTGCTGCTGCGGAACAAATGCGGAACCTTGCTTGCCGCCCAATGCGATATGGGGTTTTGAGGCGCGGGTAACCTTGGCACCAGCAACAGGAGCAATAGCCCCAGGGCTGCAATCCGTGGATTTGCGTCGGGATTTTGGCTGGGGTCGGAGCGTTTGAAGCGTGACTGGAGGCTCCTGTTGGACTGCCGTTACTTGGGGTACAGTCGCGACGCCACTGGGTGTCAGGGACAGCTGCGCTGCTGTGGGGTGGCTTGGCTCCGCCGCGGCGATGGCTGCGGGTGAGCACTTCGCTGCAAGGCGCAGCCGTGATCGCTTTACAGCTTTCGCAGCGAGCAAATGCTTTCCTGCATACGTTGTGATGGTACAATTCGATAGCTGGCAGGGCTGCTGTTCGGGGACGAATCGTGTTTAGTTAATTCGGTATTTGTGCAGCTGTCCGTGGCCCGCCTCACCTGGGCTGATTGCTTTTTCACGCAAAGCATCCTTACAAGCGTCCCTGAAGGTTGTTCGACATAAAGAATGAGTAATCGGAAACGTCAAGAATTTAACGTGTATGGCAATCAGGAAGCAAAACTAACCTGTCTTCTGAAACGCCCCGTCTGCGCGCAGGTTCGGAATGCTTACGACTCTCTTTAATTGGTGTGTCTTCCACATCCGAATCAAGAAGGATGCCGTGCATTGCTCTTGCCGACAACCCGCCTTCCCCCGCCACGCAGCTGCCGCTCCCCAGTCCCCACAAAAGCCAAACCAACAGTTTATGCCTCTGCCATAATGATTTACACTATTTCATTCTTTTCAAAAGCCAGGTGAATGTGTGCAGCACTGTCAGGTTGCAGTTGAGAGTACCGCCATTTAAAATTTCTATGCTGTTCCGCTAGAAATTGGCTTGGTACGAAGAAAAGTTCAACTGTTGTTGAGCTCCTGTATTCTAAACAAACGAAAGAACGATGTTCGTACCGTTTTTTGTTTGACAAGGCTTTCCCGATATGTATGTACATGATCTACTTACCTCTTGTTTATGCTGCAGTCCGTAAACTTTTTTTCAATTGCAGGAATTATAACATTTGAGGCTGGGCCGAGTGAACCGGACGTTATTACTAGGACTTCCTGCTTGATGCCTTGCATCCGGGATCTTTGGCACTTCGTGATTACTATTGAGCCTTTTTTCCATTTGACATTTCGTTTAGGGACTCGCTTCTAGGCTTCGCGGCAGACGGGGTAAGCGCCACGCAAAGGCGTTTGGTTTGCAAATGCCTGGCACAATATGCATAGTAGCAATCCTGTAAATCCATGCCAGGTTGGAGCCCCAGGCTGCCTGTGCCTAGAGACACATCTTCAGTCGCTATGCCGACCCAAGCAGGGTGCGTGCGCATTCCACACCGTGCAGCGCTCATGCGGCAGCACGCGTTGCTAAGTATCTTTTCGCATGCAGGCTGTGGCCGGCGCTGTTGCCTGGCCAAGCTTGGAGACTGTCCGCCAGGGATGCTCATAGGGTGGTGAGGATTAGAGTAGGTGCAATGACGTGGCGGGCAAGGGAACTGACTCCAGGGACGTCGGTGCTGCGGCCGCACTGCGCTGTGGGTTGGGGTGCTGGCTGGGCCCGGGGAGAGCGCGCCTTGGAAACCCTTCTTGCGGACCCTTCGTTTGGGGATTCTGTGTGTGGCAGGCGTCCCCAGCTCATACCACTGCGCACCGCAATGCCAAACTCTGCATGTGCCATTCGGGGTGCACGGAAGTTGCGCTAGGGGCGATGCATTTGCGCGGAAATTGCGCTTTCCGTGACCCTGGAGAGGAAAACCACATGGCAACCGTATGCGTGAGCTTCCCGAGACGCGCAGCCGATGCTTCCTACGTGCCCGAGGCACATTGCTTTGTTATCTTACGTGTCTCCTAACCGCTTCATGCAGCCGTTGCATACATTGCACAGAGCAGCTCTCCCTCCTGGTAATCCCTCGCCTTTGAGCTCTGGGCCTGCCAGCCACATAATGACGCATGACCACAGGCTTATGGCATGTGAATTTATCCATCCCCCATCCACATGCAGACGCTTGGCAGCGGAGGCAGCGTTGCTAGCCGCGGCGTGCATTGCCGGGCACGCCCTCAAACCCAAACTGCGATCCAGTCGCCCGTCGCCCCCGAACAAGAGAGGTTACTGCAGTATAGCCGACAGCACGATGCATCATCTTCTAATCCTGAAGATCCGCCGCACATGCGCGGCGGCAGCAGCGGCTTCCGCATGCGTTCCGCGTGGATTGGCAGCACAGATCGCAGGCGCGGACGCGGAGCCTCTGCTGCAAGGCCCCTCCCAGTAGCGCTGTCCGACGAACGCATTGTGCCGCTGATGCGCAAAGCTGAGCGCGACGTGCTGCCCGGCGATGACCCCAACACCCCATGGCGCCGCCTCGCCTACCAGCTCCGCCTCGCCCCCTCTTTGAGCGACCTGCTGGCCATCTACCGGGCCAACCGGGAGAGCCCAGTCTGGAGGCCGCACATGACGGCACTGGTATTAAACCGCATAGGCGCGCTGCTGTACCCTAAGGCCGTGGCCGCGGCTGCATCCACGGCACAGGGAGATGGCCGAACCGACGGCGTCGGACGCTTCCCGCCGCCTCAACTTAAACGTGACGCTGTGTCCCTGTTCGAGTCGTTATCGGGCAGGGTGACCAAACGGGCTGTGCGGCAGGTGCAAGGAATGCACCTGGCCCGGGTTTTGGTGGCAATGGCATGGTTGGAGGTAGCGGGGGAGGAGTGTGAGATGGTAGTGGCGGCTCTAGTGGGGGAGCTGCAGCGCCAGAGAGGCGGCAAGCTGGTGCAGGTGGCAATGGTGGACCCGGCACTCTTTGGCCGTCTGGTGCGTGCCCTGGCGCAGCTGGTACCACGGGAAAGGGAGTTATGGGTGGACTTACAGCGCGTGACGCTGGCAGCATTAATGGAAGCGCAGGCGGAGGCGCAGGCGCAGGCGCCTGTGGCGGCAGGGTCGAGCAGGTCCGCTGTCGCTGTACCTGCACCGAAGCGCGTATGGTCAGGTCCTAGCCGAGACGCGGTGAAGGCGGAGGCGGCAGCTTCACCCTTGCCGCCGCCAGAAAAGCCCGATTGCTCCACTGCGGACCTGGCGAACATGGCCTTTGGTTTCGCCGCGGCTGGTGCAGCATCGCCTCAGCTGTTTGCTGCACTGCGCTCGGCAGTGCTGTCTCGTGAGCTGCCAGATGATCCGGACACTTTGGCCCGGCTCATGTGCGCGTGGGGACGTGCGCACATCCCAGCGGGGCCGCTGCTGTATAGGGTTCTTGATGCGTTTGTGCCGCTAGTTGCAACCGCGTCGCCGCGGCCCATTGGGCGCATGATTTGGTCCTTGGCCATGATGCGCATGCGTGACGAGCGCTTCCTCCGTGCCGCTGCTAAGGCGATCGTGGACAGGCGGCTAGTGTTTTCGTCGCCGCAGGAGCTCGTGAACGTCGTCTGGGCATATTCGCATTTGGGTTGGCAAGTAGAGGAGGGAGCGGAGCCGCGGCGACCTTGGTCCGGCACTGCCACAGCGGAGGAATTGGCGGCGGAGGGCAGGGAAGGGTCGACACGAGGCAAGCCACGCGGAATGCTGCGGCAGCCACCTGCTCGCTTGAAGGAGGACGTCGAGGAGGCTGCTGAGGAAGGGGTCGACGGAACCTGGAGTGCGGGTCAGCGGCGTGAACAGAAGGATGCAGAGCAACGCAGCGTGGACGCTGCAAGGCTTGAAGGGGGAACAGCGGCATCGACATCGGCGGCGGCGAGGTACAATGCAGATGAGCCCGAGGGAAGGTCAGGGCGTCCTGGTGCACATGAACAGGAAGCAATGGACGAGCAAACGAAGGCTGGCACCGCCGGCAGGAATTTGGACAACAGCAGCAGCAGCAGCAGTAGTAGTGATAGTGGCGATGGCAGCAGCATGGGCATGGGAAGCTCCGGCGGGGTTGACGCTGCTGCCGCCAGTATTACGCCCAGGTCCGAAGCCCTGGAACGGTATCCTGGCATTCGAGCAGGGGATGAGGCGGCGGCGTCGGTGGAGGGTTCTGCAGCTCCTAAAGTGCCAGGTGCCCCCGCAGGCATGCCTGTGCTAAAGCCCTTGCCCTTGACGGCGCCACTGGCAGCACGCGAACAAGCCCGCCAGGCAATGCTGTTCCAACAGCCCCCCGAGTATCCGGAACATTTTGCATTATACCGCTACCTGGGCCACAGCTTTATTCACCGAAAGATTGGCAGCAACGCCCATCACGCCATCTCTAACTCTCAGTTGGCAGTCTTGGTGGGCAGCTTTGCGCGTGCAGGTTACCGGAGCAAGCAGCTGTTTTACACGGCAGCTCGCATCGCGCTGTTACGGCTGCAGTTCCTCTCCCCCGCTGACCTAACACTGCTGCTGTCGGCACACGCGAGGCTGCGCATCGCGCACTCGGGTCTATTTGAGGCGGCTTGCCCTATTGTAGCGGCACGGTGCTGCGAGTTCACACCCGCTCAGTTGGCAGATGTGCTGTGGGCGGTTCAAGTTCTCATGCCGGAAGGCTTTGTGCAGCTGTCAAATGCAGTCAGGACGCGACGCGGCTGGCTGCCACCGCCAGTGCCGCCGGCAGCTTCAGCTTTGGGAATGCAGCCGGGGCAGTTGGATGGCTTGGGTGAAGAAGCAGAAGAGGACGGAGAGGAGCGCGTGGAAGAGACGCGGGGAAGGCGAGGAGTGATGACGGGCGCCGGCGGAAGGGGAGAAAGGGAAGATGGGCCGATGCTGCCGGCGCTGATGCGGCTACGAGTCCCACGAGAGTTGCTGGAAGATGTGGATTGGATTGAGGCTGAGGATGGGGGCGAGGAAGTGGAGGAGGGGAGTTCTGCGGCAGAGTTCCGTGATCGCGACGATAGCCCGGCGGACTCCTTTTAAGGAGGGAAGAGAGAAGAGCGGTGCTGGCATTGAGGTACAAGGCTGTGTGGTTCTTTGGAAAAGTTTTCGGGGAAATTACTGAAATGGAAAGTGCCGATGCGTAATTGGATTTGCCCTTGCTTCCAGTGTGATTGTTGCGCGCGTTTGGACCGCAAGCTTACAACTCGAAACTGCACAAATACAGACCGATGCTGGTTGGAAATGGGACAACTACTGAATGTGGTGTTAAAAAACACCGGTGAATTTGAATTCGGCCAAATGGTCGTCCATTTACGACGAGGTAAACTTAGTGACGGCCTTGGTACCCTCCGAGACAGCGTGCTTGGCCAGCTCGCCAGGCAATACCAGTCGCACGGCGGTCTGGATTTCGCGTGACGTTACAGTCGGCTTCTTGTTGTAGCGGCTGAGCTTGGACGCCTCGGTAGCGACTTTCTCGAAGATGTCGTTGATGAAGCTGTTCATGATAGACATCGCCTTTGAGCTGATGCCAGTGTCCGGGTGGACCTGCTTGAGCACCTTGTAAATGTACAGCTTGTAAGTCTCACTCTTGGCCACCTTGGCCTTCTTCTTGGCCTTCTTGTCGCCCTCCTCGCCACCTGCAGCGGGTTCCTTTGCAACCTTCTTGGCCGGCGCCTTCTTCTCCTTCTTGGGGACCCTCGCCTTCTTGGGCTTGGCCTCAACCTTCACCTCGGGAGCATCAGCAGCTGGCGCGGCAGCCTTCTCATCTTTCTTGGGAGCCATTGGTCAAATAGAATGTATCAAGGAGTGACTTGGATGATAACAAAATATTATGTCACGTTTACGCAAATGGTAACATCAGTATGCTAGTGGATGGGCTTTATGGGAAGTCCGCTGCGGATCACCGGGACAACGGTCAACCAGTCAACGGTATCGGACTGGATCACTGGACCAACCGACAACCTTGAAAATATGTAAAGTGAACAATGCAATCATTTGCCATGAACTGAAATTACTGTCGTTTTCCCCATTTCGTGAGTTACATAATAATCAGTATGGCCGGCCGTGGTAAGGGAAAGAGCGCTGGCAAGAAGGCCGTGAGCCGCAGCTCTAAGGCGGGCCTGCAGTTCCCTGTCGGGCGCATTGCCCGTTACCTCAAGAAGGGCAAATACGCTGAACGGATCGGTGCTGGTGCGCCTGTGTACTTGGCTGCGGTGCTGGAATACCTTACTGCTGAGGTGCTGGAGCTGGCCGGCAACGCAGCTCGTGACAACAAGAAGAACCGCATTGTCCCTCGTCACATTCAGCTTGCGATCCGCAACGATGAGGAGCTTGGGAAGCTTCTTGGCGACGTGACCATTGCGTCGGGTGGCGTGCTGCCCAACATTCACGCTGTGCTGCTGCCCAAGAAATCCAAGGGGAAGGCTGAGGACGGTTCGGCAGCTGTTTAAATGACGTGGTTCACACCCGCCATCCCAAACACGGTGTTTCTCAACACCACCAAAATCGTGGCCCGGACGTGCCGACAAATCAGAAGATTTATATCAAAGTGATAAAAACAGAGTAACTTTCTTTCGCCATTCTTTGAGAACAGGCCAGATGAACTGACCTCACGGAATCAAAAGAACCCTACCCTAGACAGATGTAATTGGAAATAGTGCTGAGCACCCCAGCATTCTCGCCTCAAACGGTCCCCGCTCGTCTAGCTGGACTAACGGAAGCAGAGACCCGCACACCAAAGCTTCACCTGATCCCTCCTCGCGTTGGGCCACACCGGCGCCCCCTTGCGCGGCAGTTGTCATACTGTCAGGCCCGGCACTTGTACCCCTGCCAGCCAACACCTCAGCTTGCGGCGCAACCACCTTCCCGTCCCCAGAGCTTATCCAGCCCCCATCAGCACCTGCAGCAGTGCAGCCGTGGTCACCGCCACCTTCGCCAAACCCATACATCCCCCTGCCCCAACCCAGCCATTCCGCCGGCAGCCCATATAGAAACGGCAGTGAAATCACCACCAGGCTGTCCGGCGGCAGCGGCGCCGGTCGTGCCAGCGATACCTGTACCACAGTAGCTGCTGGACCCTGCCCCGAAACCATCTGCGCGGCTAAGAGGCCCTGATGTTGCTGCTCTAATTCCTTCTCATCCTTCCTTGTCCTCGTGCTGACTGTGTTCGCCATCCTGGCCCGCCGCCCCTCCGGGTCCATCAGCGTTTCTGCTCCGGGATGCTCCATGTCACAGGCCCTGCCGCTACCGCCCTTGCCACCGTCGCGACCCGTATCTGCTGCTGCGGCGGCGCTGCGAGGCGCCTCGCGCTGAAGCATCAGCAGGCCCGCCGCCGCTGCGGCGTCCCCTGGGAGCTGCGGCCGCTGCAGAACACGGAACTGAACCGTGGGTCGCGTCGCCAGCAGCGGTTCACCGCAGGCTGACGGCGGTGTCACCACGAAAATGCGCCGGAGCTGCGCCAAGCCGCTTGGCCGCCGAGGTGTTGGATCCCACGGCATCGCGCCGTCGTGCGCCACCGGGGCTGCCGGATCCAGTTGCAGGCCCGGCGGTGGCTGCAGGTACAACGGAGCGTCGTTCTGCAGCAGAAAACTGGCGGCGCCGCCGCCGCTGCCGCCGAGGGCTGCGGCTGCAGCTCCTGCTGCCGCATCGTTACCTGGCACTTGAGGCGGCCGTGGTCCCTTCCGACCAGGCTGGTGGGGACCTTGCAGCCCGGTTGGGGCGGGGGAAGCGGAGGTTGGCATGGATGGGGCGTCGCGCGGTGCGGCTCTGCCGGCCGCCGCCGCCGCAAGCTGCTGCGGAGTGGCTAAGAAGCGGCGGCCGTCCAGCGTCTGGTACTCGTACGACACGTAAACCTGCACAGGAATGCGGCACGTATGGACCATCATGACGATGGAACTTCGCGAAGGCGCACATATCCGATTATAGCCAGGGGTGTGGCTTTGCGGGAAGGGACCCGATGCGGCCACATGGGCTACAGAGTGCCGCGATGTGTGTTCCCGGTGCCTCCGCCGCCTCTGCCTCCCTGGCTTCCTTCCGCAACGGCCTTCATGGAAGTTAGTGAATGCGGTAATGCTCTCGGCGGATCAGCTCCCGACTATGCCAGTGTGACTTACATATATTTAGGTACATGAACGCAAACATACATACGTGAGGACATGAGAGCACAAAGACGCGACGGAAGACCTGGTTTCCCACCCACCCCCGGATATTCCCCTATATTACCAAGCAGCAGCAGCAGCAGCCGCACAGGGAGCCGTGCAGCAAGAACGTACCCTTCTGACGTCCTTGGCGCTGGACAGGCCCGGAAACGAGGTCGAGTCCGCGGCGCCTGAGGGACCTGCACCGCCGCGGCCGCCGCGTCGACCTCGCGCTGGCGGCCCTCCCGTGCCGCTGCCGCCACCGCCGCCACCGCCACCACCACCGCCGCCGCTATCTCCCAGGCCGCCAACTCCCCCGTTAGCAGCAACGCCGGCCCTTGCCTTGCTGGTAGCTGCACCGCTACCATGCGGATACGGCCACGCCTTTGCAAACCTCTCCCTCTCGCTGCTGACGGTAGTTGCCGCCGCGCCGGCGCCGCCTACCTTCCCGCCACCAGGTCGCTGCTTGCCGCCGCCGCCGCCGCCGCGCTTGGGACCCGTCTGTCTGGAACCCAAACCCAGCTGCGGCTGCTGCTGCTGCTGGCGGCCCCCCTGCATCGCTGCTGCAGCCTCCGCCAGCGATGGAAAGCTTTGCTCGTCCAGTACGACACCGGCTTCGCTGTCGCTACCTCCCGCAGACACCGCCGCCGATGCGTCAGGCACGTCAGCAGAGCCCGTCGATGCGACCCGCGGGACCCCGCCAGGTCCTCGAGGACCGCCGCCACCACCTCGCCCTGTGTCGCCGCCGGAGCGCTGCAGGCCCCCAGGTCCCGATCCCGATCCCGACTCCGCTTCCAGATGCAGCGTGAGGGGATACAGGTAACTGCCGTTCAGCCCTGGCTGGTTGGTCAGCCCGCGCCGGTCGTTGTACGATGACGCCGGGCCGAGACGAGTGACCGTGACCCACGGGCCCAACGCGCACTGGCGTGTGCTGCCGTCAACGGTTTGCCCAACAGCGACCAAGAGGTGACGACTGTGAGCCGGTAGTGGTTGCGGGTGCTGCTGATGGTGCTGCTGCGCGGGAGCTGCGGCCGCGCCTCTGGCGTGTTGGTCCACTGAGGTGCTTGCAGCGGCGGCGCCGCCGCGCTTGCCGCCCTTCGTGCGGGCGCCGCCACCGCCGCCGCCACCGCCGGCCGTGGGCGAGGCAGTCCCAGCGCTGCCTGCGGCAGCGACAGCCGCAATGGTGGCGGCGGGCGGCTGCGGCAGCAGCGCCATTGCCGTCGCCACTCGTGCCCCGTCGTCCAGTTCCGCAGAAGTGTTGGCCGCCTGAGGACGAGGGGTGGACCAGGAGCATCAAGTCCGGCCAGCGGCGCGGTGAGGAGCAAAATATGATCAGACCCACCATCGCAAAACGCGTCCCACGATACGCCTAGCCAAAACCAAGCTCCAACAACTCTTTAAGAAAAATTCCATCCGAAGGCCATCAAACCAGTTCTCAGGTGCACTCGCGTCCAAGAGGCTTCTGTGACGTGATGACAGTTCACTAAGCTGAGTTTAGTTTACCAAACTATAAAGTGCCTCAGTAACCTGGAGTAAAACTTCCGGACGACAGCCCTTCTGCCCTTACACCGTACCTGTACGTCAAAGGGTTCCGGTACGGCAACCAGGCTGGATCCGGTTGTGGTGGCGGTAACCCAGCTGGTGGTCTCGGAGCAATGGGGCTCCGCAGAGTCCTGATCGTGGTGATGGCGACGGGGCAGAACGCGCGTATCGGTTTGGGGCGGGGGGGGAAAGACGAACCACACACGATTGAAGCTGCTGCTAGGTCAAGAGAGTGACAAAAAGGGGCGGAGGGAGGGGGATGAGGGGCGGGGGGAGGCAAAGGAAAGGGGATAACGCGGGTTCCGGAGCGCGGGCGGCCATGTGGACCTTCTTCCCTTGGCTCACGAACACGCATCCCAGTCATCTTTCTGACCCATCTTGCGCTCAGGGCCCCTCTACTATCAGATACGTACAACTGTTGAAAAAGGAGGACCTCAGCAGCAGAGAAATACCCGGTATGGAATATGCACCCACATGAACGGGCAGCGTGCAGGGCCGCCCGGTGGCGCTCAGGGCGCTGCATTGCCGCCGCCGCCCCCCCTCCCGCCGCCACTCCCCC